GTCTCTGAAGGAAAGTTACATGTTTGTGGCAATTAAAACGCGTGTGGAATAATATTAAGATATTGGTTTAATCAGAGAAAAATAGAAAACAAGTAACAATATTATAACAATGGCGTGAGGAGAGGGAAGTACAGTGGCGCCACCAAACACTAACATGACAAACTAAAACTGGTTGCGTTCCATTACTCTAACACCCTCCCTTGGAACGCAACCCCATTTTCATTACACAATACAAATGCTTTTCTACTGTAGTACCTTTAGTTAGACTATCAGCTATCATTTTCTCTCCTTTTATATAACAAAACTTTATTATTAAATGTCTAACATGATCCTTTAAAAAGTGATAGCGAATGTCAATGTGTTTGGATCGAGGAAGATAACCATCATTGAGTGAAAGTTTTACTGCACTCTGGTTATCGCAGTAGATAACCAGCGGGCTCCTCTGCAGCTGTTGACCCAGCTCAGCATGCAGCTGCTGCAAGTACAGCGCCTCTTGCGCTGCCGAGGACATCGCCATGTATTCGGCTTCAGCTGTGGAGAGTGCCACAGTCTGCTGCTTGTGTGACCTCCAGGAAATGGCTCCACCCTGCAACATAAATACATAACCCGTGCACGACTTGCGGTCCTGCACGTCACCTGCCCAGTCTGCATCACAGTACCCAGTGACATCCTCGTTACCATCTTTAGTATAAATTAATTTGAAGTCCTTTGTACCCTGTAGGTATCTCAATATTCTTTTTACTGCAGTCCAATGTGCGGTATTAGGTTTTTTATTAAACCTACTCAATGTGTTCACTGCAAAAGAGATATCAGGTCGAGTGCCCTGAGCCACGTAGAGTAGGCATCCAATTGCCTGTTGATAAGGACATTCTTCTATGAAATCGTTATCCTGTGTTTTATCAAATTTCAGGCCAACTTCAATTGGTGTTTTTACTGGTTTACAGTCAGACATGTTGAATCGCTTCAAAATATCCTTTATATATTTTTCTTGGTCTACCATCACCTTATCTCCTTCTCTAGTAATGTGTAGACCCACACACTGACTCGCAGGACCAATATCCTTCATTTCAAAAGAGTTTTTTAGCTTCTCCTTCAATACATTTTTAGCTGACTCTTGAGCTGTAAACAGGATTAAGTCATCAACCCATACTGCTACAAAAGTATTATTATCAATGTTGTAATACACACAGGAGTCTGTTCGAGACTGTTTTAGCCCAAGTTTTTGTAAAACAGTGTTAAGTTTCATGTTCCACAGCCTGCTGGCCTGTTTCAGCCCATATATGGACTTGCGTAGCAAACAGACTTGAGATCCAGTTTGATATTCTACCGGTTGCTGCATATATATCTCTTTGTCAATTTCTCCTTGCAAGAAAGCTGACACAGCATCCATTTGATCTATGTTAAGTCCATATTTAGCTGCCAACGCGAACAAATAACGAATCGTAGTGTATCTGACAACTGGTGAGTAGGTTTCTTCATAGTCCGAGCCCTTTTTCTGAGTATATCCTTTAATTACCAGTCTGGCCTTGTACCGAACAACATTTCCACCTTGATCAGTCTTTGTTTTGAACACCCATTTGCATGGCAGTGCTCTCTTGCCTGTAGGAAGGTCTGTCAAACTCCAAGTATCATTTCTAATTAATGAATTATACTCCTGGTCCATTGCTTGCTTCCATTCAGCAGCTTGAGGTGTTGACAGGGCCTCCTCAACAGTTTGTGGATCCAAAAAATCTGTAAACATACATAGAAATCCCTTTTTTTCACATCTCATGATGTTTTGTTTATCTCGTGACCTTAGTGTCATATTATTTCTGTAATCCTGTCTTATTGAACGAGGAGGGCGATAGGTTGCATCTAAATCTCCAGAGTCAGTTTCGTACTCACTTGAGTCCTCACTGTTACCTGCACTGTCCTGTGTGGCAGAGTCTTTAGACACTACTGTAGGCTCCGGAGTGGGTACTTCATATTTGAGACTGGCAGACCTGTCTGGTTTCTCACAATTTGGTGAAACAGGGCATTCTGTCTGGCTCTCCTTGACTGAAACATTAGGATCACATGGCATATTTACACTGACATTGTCATTAATATCCTCTATGAATGTAACACTCTGCTTTTAATTATTTTGTGACTTTTGGGATCCATCAGGCGGTATCCCTTTGAGTTCTCACAATACCCTACAAATATCATTCTGTTAGATTTTCGATCCCACTTCTGGCGTTTCTCTTTAGGTACATGTACCATGGCAATAGAGCCGAACACTCTCATATGTGAAAGCTTGGGTTTTCTTCCTTTCCATAGCTCAAAAGGGGTCTTACCTTTCAAAGATTTAGTGGGGCATCGGTTGACAATGTAGGCAGCTGTTGCCACAGCCTCAGCCAGCAGTTCTTCTCTATGTTGGCATGGAACAGCATGGTGCGGGCTCGTTCCACTAGAGTCCTGTTCATCCTCTCAGCTAGTCCGTTGAGTTCTGGAGTATACGGGGTAGAAGTTTGATGTATGATGCCATGTAAAGATAAAAATTGTTCAAAGTTAAAGTTACAGTATTCTTTGCCATTGTCAGTGCGAATCTTTTTGATCTTTAGATCCAATTCATTCTCAACTATTGACTTAAAATCCTTAAAAGTTTCCAACACATTCATTTTATCTTTGAGAAAATACACATGAGTCATTCTAGTAAAGTCATCAATGAAGGTAATAAAATATTTCATACCTCCATATGATGGATTCTCCATGGGACCGCACAAATCTGAGTGGATAAGTTCTAGTGGTCTAGTTGCTCTAGTACCAACACCTTTAAAAGGAAGTCTGGTTTGCTTACCTTCTAGGCAATGAGTGCATGTGACATGTGCTATTCTATTCAGAGCCAGAGTCACATCTTCAGCACACTGGGGTAGCTTCTTAACATCTGAGAAATTTAAGTGACCCATTCGCAGGTGCCACAGGTAAGTATTGTTGCCATAAGCGGCACTGGTTAAATGAACCCTCTCTCTGCTAGTATTCATGACATACAAGTTGTTGTTCAAAGTAGCATTGCATATTGACTCACCCTTTTTATTATAGACTTCACATCCTTTGTTATTAAAGATAACCTTATACCCACATTTAACAATAGTGCTAACTGACAGGAGATTTGCTGCCAACCCGGGGACAAACAAGACATTTTTAATTTGAATTTTAGTCTTCCGGTCAGTGTGCAAGTCCACACATCCTACTCCTCTTACAGCTAATGGTTCCTTATTGGCCACAGTAACAGTTTTTACTGGTGGTGGCTCAGTGACGTTGTACATCCAATCGTTCTCTCCCAGACATATGCATGGATGCACCAGAGTCTACAACCATTCATTCTATCTGACATGTTATTGTCAGTTGTTGCTGAAAACGCCGCTACAAAACTTGAATTTTCTTTGCTCTCTGTTTTCTTTGTTTGTTTGCAGAATTTAGCAAAATGCCCATTCTTGTTGCACTTGTAACACCTAGGCCCCTTTGGCTTAGCTGGCTGGTTACTGTTCCTAACTATTTTCTTATTACTTGGATTGATATACAATGCATTGCTGGTATCTACTGATCTTACCTCTTGTAGAAGTTTGGTTTTGATAAGGTCAGCATTAATCTTTGCGCCTGAACTTTCAAGGCCCATTATCATAGGAGTGTAGATCTCGGGTAGACCAGCCAGCATCAGGGTGCCCAGCCATTCGTCGTTAACTTCGAATCCTATATTGCGCAGCTTGTGTGCTGTCGTCATAATTTTATTGACGTACGCCTCCACATTTCCACTAGACTCCAGAGTAGTATTTACCAGGTCCTTCAGTAAGCCAACTCGTCTTGTTAATCCGTTGTCGTCGAATGCCTTTAGCAAATTGTCCCAAACTTCTTTGGCAGTCGTACAACTTTGCACATGTACGTAATTTTGAGGATCCAACAGCAGTATTAATTTTGACTTTGCCTTGATGTCCTTACTTGAGTCAATGGGTTTATTGTCTTTCGGCTCCACACAGCTCCACAGATCTTCGTGCTCTAAATATGCTTTCATGCTAAACTTCCATGTGGCAAAGTTTTCTCTGCCCACAAGTTTTTGTATATTGAATGTATTTGTCGAGCTCATTTCGAAGAATTTTAGATCCAATTGTAACGATCACGTTTTCTAACCTCACTTTTCAATATGCCGGCCGGTATTCGGTAATTATGTTATTATTCCACACAATGCCACATCTGAACCACGCTCTGCTACCATGAAGGAAAGTTACATGTTTGTGGCAATTAAAACGCGTGTGGAATAATATTAAGATATTGGTTTAATCAGAGAAAAATAGAAAACAAGTAACAATATTATAACAATGGCGTGAGGAGAGGGAAGTACAGTGGCGCCACCAAACACTAACATGACAAACTAAAACTGGTTGCGTTCCATTACTCTAACAGTCTCCAACCTTCCTGGCAAGCGTGGATATTTCGGCAAACCTTCTTATGTAGAGGAGGCTCATAGTGTAGCACAGGGCTGTCCATACAATGGCCCGCGGGCCGCATGCGTTACGTTCATACTGCCAGAGATCACACTCCCAGAGTATGTGATGGGCGGACTGCTCGTAGGTATTGCAGCTCCGCTGTAGAACATTGGCACCATGGTGAATCAACAAGTTTAAATGAGAACAATTTGCTTTTAAAGTTGCCGTGGCCAGTAAGAAATTGGGTAACACAGTGATTCACCTCCAACCATGTCCTCTCATACTGACATCATATCGTCGGATGATCGAACTGATCGCAATGAAGATTTTGTCTTAAGCGATAGGTACACGGAACTCTACTTGATAGCAGATACCTACCACTGAATCTATAAATGTAAGAAAATGTAAACATGCAATTACCGTAATTACTTTTTCAGTAATTTATTGTATTAGCACAGTTGCAACTTGTAATGCAAACGATGAATTGGTCCATATAAAAGGCTGCGCCATGAGAAATGAGGAACTTGATCTTGTTCATCAGTCTCGAAACTCTCCAAGATGAAAACCATCGTGTTATTGGTCGCCGCTGTTGTAAGTACCTCCAGACTTTACACTTTTCTTCTCGATAAAGTTCATCTCTATCTACTTGTGTTCTAACCATATGAAGTGCCAACGTAGCCGTCACTTATTGGGCTCGCTGCCATTGCAGCGGTAAGTCCCCTCTTTGAGGAGTGGCTTGAGAGACGCTACGGCGTCCTCACCTACCGCCTGACGCAGGTCCTCACCGGACATGGAAGTTTCGGGAGGTACCTGTGTCTGATGGGGCGGGAGGAAACGCCCGGGTGTCATCACTGCGAGGACCACCCTGAGGACACGGTGGAACACACTGTTGCGGAATGCCCTGCGTGGGCTGAGCACCGCCGTGCCCTCAGGGAAGTGATCGGCGATGGAGACCTCTCGCGTCCGGGCCTAGTGCAGGCCATGATGCGGAGCGAGGGGGACTGGGATGCCGTCTCCTCCTTTTGCGAAGCAGTCATGCTGGCTAAGGAGGAGGCGGGACGCGTGAGGCAGCGAAGCGCTGCCTCCTCGCAACCCAGCCATCGCGAAGGACACACCGGGCGTCGGGGATCGCGGGACGATCTCCGGCCACCGTAAGCGCGGGCCTGCGGACGGCGAGCATGGGTGGCTCCCCGTCCGACCAGAAACAGACCCGAGCGTACGGCGCGTCGCGTTCCGCGCGCGCCTCAAAGAGCCATCAGACCACCACAGATGGGGCCCAATAGGGCCGATGCCGATTCGGAGTCGCGGAGAACCTAACGGGTAACCGGGGCTCCGGCTCGACGTGCAGGAGAAGGAACGGGGTGGTTTTTAGTCAGTAAGAGTCTGACACTCCCTTCCGCCTCACCCAGGCGGGAGCAGTCATTCGATGATTTTCCCCCTTTAAAAAAAAAAAAGCCGTCACTTATACAATAAGAAAATTATTGATTAGAACATTTTTTCACCTCACCGCACCGGTGTCAACAGTGTTGTGGTATCGGTCTCGAACCTAGACTACTGTCCTTGTGCGTACTGCTAAGGAATTCTTTGACAGAGTCTATATTTCCTAAAGGTTGCTTTTGGGACGACGTGATCCATCGTTGACTGCATCATCGCTTACCACCAGGCGAGATGATGGTCAAACGTCGGCCCATCAAATATAAAAAAAAACTGTGGAACCAATAATTGAAAATACACATAATGTTACAGGCGGCGCTGATTCCAGCGGAAGCAGTCAGCATCTCTCAGAGAGGACTAGATGAAGTAGTCAGCTCAGTGTGGTCTCCAGTAGACCCTATAGGACAGGGTGAGTGCAATAACTGTCTCTCTGTCTATCTTTTCTTTACACCTGAACCACTAAACCGATGAAAAGCATGATCTTTTCACTATTGCACATGAGTATTATTCAATATGAATGTTATGCAATAGGTAACAACCACTGTTTATGTTTTAATTTAATGTTTTGTTTGCTACAGAAGTGCCAGATGTTGCTATCTCTGTGGCCAGAAAGAAGCGTGCTCTTTTCCTAATCAGTAAAATTATCAACAAAGGTGTAAAAGACTTGAACAAAGTTGTAGACAGTTTGCAAGACGTAACAAACAAAGTTGTTGATACTACGCAAGATGTAGTGAAAGATATATTAGGAATAAATAAAGATAAGCCTGCTCAGGAGAAACCTGCTGTTGAGGAACCTGCTGTAGAGGAACCTGCTGAAGAGGAACCTGCTGTTGAAGAGCCTGCTGAAGAGGAACCTGCCGTTGAAGAGCCTGCTGAGGAGGAACCTGCTGTAGAGGAACCTGCTGAGGAGGAACCTGCTGTAGAGGAACCTGCTGAGGAGGAACCTGCTGTAGAGGAACCTGCTGAGGAGGAACCTGCTGTAGAGGAACCTGCTGAGGAGGAACCTGCTGTAGAGGAACCTGCTGAGGAGGAACCTGCTGTTGAGGAGCCTGCTGAGGAGGAACCTGCTGTAGAGGAACCTGCTGAGGAGGAACCTGCTGTAGAGGAACCTGCTGAGGAGGAACCTGCTGTAGAGGAACCTGCTGAGGAGGAACCTGCTGTAGAGGAACCTGCTGAGGAGGAACCTGCTGTTGAGGAGCCTGCTGAGGAGGAACCTGCTGTAGAGGAACCCGCTGAAGAGGAACCTGCTGTTGAGGAGCCTGCTGAGGAGGAACCTGCTGTAGAGGAACCTGCTGAGGAGGAACCTGCTGTTGAGGAGCCTGCTGAGGAGGAACCTGCTGTAGAGGAACCTGCTGAGGAGGAACCTGCTGTTGAGGAGCCTGCTGAGGAGGAACCTGCTGTAGAGGAACCTGCTGAGGAGGAGCCTGCTGAAGAGGAACCTGCTGTTGAGGAGCCTGCTGAAGAGGAACCTGCTGTTGAAGAAGCTGCTGATGCCGATGCATCTGCTGATAGTGAATCTTCTGCATCTTCTGATGGTGAATCTGCTGATGCCGAGGCATCTTCTGATAGTGAATCTGCTGATGCCGAGGCATCTTCTGATAGTGAATCTGCTGATGCCGAGGCATCTTCTGATAGTGAATCTGCTGATTCCGAAGCATCTGCTGATGTTGAAGAATCTACTTCTTAAACTGTTTCCAACCACGGACCCATTCCACAAGAAAAAAATTCACAGAGGAAATAAATATTTTACATTGTATACTATTACATAAAATGTATTGCGTATTATGTTCAACATTGTATACATACTCATCATCTGGCTTTCTAACTATTTAAAAATTAAATCTCAGTTTCTCTTGTATACCTAATACTCTTTTATTTTGAGAGGGTAAGTCCTCCTTGCTGTCTAAAAACCACCCTTGTTCCTACTCCTACTCCTCCTTCTACTCCTGTTCTTCGAGCCGGAGCCCCGGCAAACCGAATCCGGAGCCGGAGCCGGAGATGATAAGGCAACCTTACTGGGCCCCATCTATAGTGGTCTGTTACCTCGCTGGGGTAACGGGTAGCTCGCTACCCTAAGTCGCAGACCACACTAGATCGACGCGTCTTGCGTTTGCGATGAGCGAGAAAGATGAAGATTTTCTCGTAAAATGTACACCAAAAGAAATATTATAAAAAAGTGTTGATGTTAGCCGCCATTTTTCTGGTTGAGGAAAGAGTAGGTACCTACATCTAAATATACAAACATTCCAGGCAACCCCGACATATTTATCCTAATAAACGAACTACTTTTAGTTAGATCAGACTGCTTATAGACTTAAATTTAATAATAATAATAATATATGCTTTATTGTACACCACACAATCACATTATAGGATAAATATTAACAAAAATAGTGTACAATGGGCGGTCTTATCGCACAAGGCGATTTCTTACAGACAACCTTTGGATGGAGCAGTAATAGGAGTCAGATATGGGTCGTTAAGTGTACAATAATTAATAACTTTATAAAGTACTATACATAAAATACAACTACAACTTAACAAAAATTTAGCTAGTTGTGTAGTTTTTCACGAAGTCCATCCATTAATTTATTCCATTTATGCCTTGCCTTGGGCATTGTCTGACAGTAAACCTATATAGGTGGTACAAAAATGAAAATGGCAGGTGACTAAGTAAATATTAATAATTATATATAGATACTTACTTAGATATTTATATATATAGTTATGCATATATATGTACATATATCCAATATATCATATACTAATATCATAATAATAACCCAATCTATAAATATCGTCTATCAATTGTAAAAAATGAGATACATTAAAAACACAGTGCATGTTTGGTAACATATGTATTATGAGAAACAATGAGTATATGCAATTCAGAGTTCACGTGGCGAGCGTGCAGAGCATGGCAGTGCCGCGTTTGACCCAGAACTCCGCCGTCTCCTTCCCGGCCGGCAGGTCCACGGCCACCACGAACGCCCCCATGCGGAGCGGGTAATAGTAGCATGGACATACGTAGCGGTCTGAAACGTACTCATTGCTACAACTTCTATCTTAGATTTACGAGAATCGAGATTGATGGAACTTTCGCTTGGGACAACCTCTGCAACTCTAAGTCAGGATCTACAGTATATACAACCATGGAAACACCGAAATAATAAAGTATGGCGCGTCCCAGAGACATGAACAAGTAAAGAAAGAAAGAAAAACTTTATTTCACACGCTAAAACAGGTGACACGTACAGAAGTTTATATACATCTACTAATGTCCCAAGTCTGCGGTGAAATGGGACCAGTTCAGCATGTGCAAGACAGGGCCTCGCGCTGGTATTCTACTGGCCCCTTAAGTGACTCGCGGACGAACAAGTCACCAATCAGACAAAAACACAAAATAAAATGCACAAAACAAAACAAATATAGAGGTAAAAATAAAAAAGCAAATAAAAAAAACGTGTAGTTAAATGCAACCTACCAATATCCAGAAAAAAAAACTTAAAAGTATTTAGGCAGCCGTACTCGTTTTCGTCCAGTGCTAAGTTCTATGATTAAGGGCCCTATTATGATACTAGCGAGCGCTCAATGAATACGTCACGATCTGATTTGGGTAACCAGAATAAGCTGAAAATGATATGGTTTTCGAGTAATGTTATCTGTGCTGTGAGCTAAAGTAAGTGTAGAGATGAATAGAGATGTAATTAGGTAGTGCGTACGTACTGCGCGTGCGCTTCCCAGTGACGCGGACTGGCTTGAAGTGTATGGGGGACATCGGGAACACTAGCTGCATGGGGAGCGGCTCCTGCAGGTAGCCCTCCTTGCGGAACCATGACGCGCCCTCCAGGTACTGGCCCCTAACACATACATACAAAGGAATGTAAATAAGTAGGTCTTAAGCTTTTCCGTATTTTTTTATCATGCTGTGTGTCGACAGTTAAGAACACATTGTCACCACCTCTGCCCTTCGCACAGGTGTCGTACGTTCAACTAAAGGACTTTATATTCAACAGAATTTTCTAATTAACTTGATTATCTTAAGCAGTGACCTGCAATCTGCCTGTCAAGCGCGGAAATTCTATACAAAACTATTTCTGTAGAGGAGGACCAGCCGTGAACTTTAGGTTAACTTTAGGTTAAGTGATGTTAATGTATCTGACTAAGATACCTGATATAGACCCCTCCATCTCTCGGCGGGCGCACGAAGCCAGCCTCCTCCAGCGGCATCACGGTGAACTCCCAGCACAGAGTATCAATGGGCCAACTCTCGCCTCGCGCCGTCGTCTACAATCATACATGCGGTCGAAGGAACAGAGACATCGTTTTATCATATCACTCACAAAACCTGTCAGTACTGAACGTAGACCTCTCCAAGATCTAGCCAGTGTTGTGGATAAAGCGCAATAATTTACCGCAGCCTGACTGATGAATTGGAACGGTGTGATTCATGCACCCCCAGGGTAGTCAGACGACTGACTTAAGCTTAAAAAGCTACTGACTGCACTGCAGATCGTAAGTCCAACCGGCCTAATTGGGAGTCAATTGGAGAAGGCCTATGTTGACCAATAGACGTGTCGTGGCTGAAATGATGATGAGGATGATGGTATACCTGCATGACGGCAGTGAGGAAGCCGGTGGGCGCGACGAAGGCGGGCAGCCAGCAGAGCGTGGGCGGCGCGCGCGGGGCCGCGGCCCAGCCCGTCAGGTGGGCCCCGCGCAGGAACAACTCGCGGCACCACGCGCCCAGCGGCTTCATGGACGGCCGGCCTGGACATACATACATGCATCAGCCACGATATACCATACATCCTACGTTTAGCACACCATCACCATGCGTTCTCATCAACTGACAACTTTTCCAATTAGGAATAGTCATTTACAATAGTTTTTATTTATTAATAGTAATACATAAACTATCATCAGCTATGGTGTTTACGACCGAGAGGATATCACTGCAATTATAGTTTCATATGTTCATGTGACTAGTTGACGTATAATCCACTACTGCATAATCAACTGAGACTTTTCTTTCTTCAAAATATTATGCGTTCTATAAATTAGACGAATTTCAAATCAGGAAGATATGACAAAAAAATACGACTTACTAGCGCCACAGCTGATTTTCTGATTACTTAACGATACAACTGAGAACTGAGAGAAACTGACTGACAAAAATTAGTGCTTAGTTTAGGAAATAGGTGAACAAAGATACAAATGATAGCAGTATACTACCTCTGAGCCAGAAGCTTGGAGTCTTGCCTTCGTAAATGCAGGTGTACATCGTCTCCAGCATCTCCGACATCACCACCAGACCTTCGATTGCGCGTCGAAGCTCCTATAGCAGATATATTATTGCTTCATGTCTATATTTTACGGCCAAAATTAATAACCAATTTCAATTCAAAGTCTTTACATTTCAGCGATTTTATCTTTACAAATACAGACATTAGTAGTATGGAGTTTCCGTCAATATAAATCGATCCATTGAATTTACGCATAGACCAATTATATTGATTTTGGCCGTTTGTATACTGTAAAAATAGACAAAACAAGTAACCCACATAAAATGGTCGTCCACATTTAGAGAGTGTACCAAATATCAGATCGATCTGTGTTTAGAAACTCGGTGATATTCCAATTAATTAATCCTACTTTTGACGGAAACGAACGAACAAACAGGTCAAGCTAAATAAAACCGTTTTGAAGCTGATTTTTCCATCGCCAGATAAATTTAATCAGAGGAATAACTTTGAACATTTGACAATTCTTCCATACTAAAACTGAAAAAAATGTCAATTTTATTCTACAGTTAAAAATTTACTGATGAGTGAAAAATCAGCCCTTATAAAATACGTGCTATATATTTGCACGAACTTCGGAAATTGAGATAGATACTGTTTGACAATAACGCTATTTAGGTTAAGCTAATGCTAGTTAAGGCTAAGGTAGTAAGGTCACCTTGAGTCCAGAAATGATGATATTGAGGAGAACGTTATAATATCCGATCTCCTGCAGCAACGAGACACACATGGGCATCACAATCTCCGGGCCCATCATACGCTCCGTCGTCTCCAGGTCTATTCGGGCTGGGAGTTTCGTCAGCATCTCCTGTGCTAACTCATCCACCTGGACAGATGAGAATTAAGATCTAATGGTAAATAATTAAGGTAGAAAATCCTAGGATTGCTGGGAAGTGACAAAAGCGGTGTATGGGGAAAGAGAGAGGGATCCGAGAAAAAAGGAGATCCTTTGAAAATGTTTCCAATGGTTATTCTTACCTGTTCTTGTCGCTTATTCTTGCCCTGGGTACTTTATAAGAAGTTCAAAAAGTGATTCAATTAGTTTAAATACACGAGGCAAGACTGCCTCCTTGGCCAAGTGGTTGCAAGTGCGATTGTCGGGCAAGAAGTCTCGGTTCAATTTCCATTAAAAAAATCTCAGTAGTAGCACGGAATCTGGAATTGTGCCCGGTACCTATATGGCAAGAGACTTACCCCTTATTGCATGGGGTTCGTAACACAAATATTGAAAAGTGGGTGTAACATTGTGCAGTGGCATTAAGTGCCTTAGTGTGCAATCCTGCTTACCCCTTCGGGAATGAAAGACGTGATGTAGTTACCTTTTGGTCCTCCCCGCCCCCCGCGCCGCCCCCGCCCGTACTGGCCAGGGCGAACAACGTAGAGCACATTATCAGGGCATCCTGTACAATACAAGCATACAAAATAATGTCATCATTCATCATAAGACAAAAAAGATAACACCATATTTCTTTGCACACAAACATGGTATACAACTTTCTATTACTAAATTGTGTTATACATATTTTATTTAAAGATACACATGCTAATTTCAAGCACGCCAAGCATCCTTTAATGGGACATACTGTATTTTTGCTGACCTGTGGCATACTTGCGTATCGACAGACGTTCGATTGTTGAACATTTTTCATCATCATCATCATCATCAACAGCCTATAAATACCCACTGCTGAGCAAAGCCTCTTCTCACACGGAGAAGGTTTGAGCATTAATCACCACGCTTTCTCAATGCGGATTGGCGATTACAAACTTATAATTAGAAATTACAAGCTCAGGTTTCCTCACGATGTTTTCCTTCACCGTTTGTCAGTGGTGTCTAGATAATCTCAGAAAGTACATATACTTAACTCGTAAAAAGTCACATTGGTACTTGCCGTTGGTAGGTTTCGAACCCGCACCCTCATGCCTGAGAAGCGGGCGTCTTAAACATACATTTTTAAACATGCTCAATAGCCTTTTAGCATGATATTTTAAAGCAGGGCTGTCCAAAGAACGAGAAATGTTTTCATGCGCCCCGCGACACACGTTAAGATTAAATCTCAATATCGTCATCTTATGTGCAACATTCTTCTGCAACATCTTAATACAATTAAGTGTATGATTTGCATACAAGTTTTGTCTGTGAGTGAAGAATATAATGTTAAACGTCATTATACACCTGAAAACATTTTCCGGGCCCCCCAGCTTTTGTAAGAAATTTAATTAGCCCGCGAAGGTATATAGTTTGGACAGCCCTGCCTTAGAGCATGCGTAACGCGGAGAACCTAACGGGTAACCGGGGCTCCGGCTCGACGTGCAGGAGAAGGAACGGGGTGGTTTTTAGTCAGTAAGAGTCTGACACACCCTCTCGTCTCACCCAGGCGGGAGCAGTCATTCGATGATTTACCCCCCTTAAAAAAAAAGAGCATGCGCACAGCCCCTTAATACTAAAGCATACAAAGTTACTGGCTAGTAACACATAACGTCATACGTCATGACAAACATCGTCTTTCATCATATCATTGAATGAAATAAAGTAGATAGTAGTAGTAACCTGTGCGAGCGTGGCGACGTCCGCGGAGGCGTGTTGGCCGAGCGACTCGGCGCGCTCGTAGCCGGGCAGCAGGTCCAGGAAGTCGCGGTACGACTCCAGCGACCCGTCGCGCGGGATGTGGTACGCGGGGATCGTCGATAGCCTGCATTTATTCATTAATTTCAATTAAATAGTATAACATTACAGTCATGAAACCAAGGCGTTATATATTTCAAATAATTATAATAATTAAGTCAAATGTTACTAACTCTATGAACTTGGTCTGAAATAAAAGTTACTATTAATCTAATAGATACATAACATTTATAAGTACGGAAGACCCATGCTTCGGCACGAATGGGCCGGCTCGACCGGAGTGATAGTACGGCCGAGCAGAAAAGTTGTGTTTCGTCGTGTGAGTGAGGTTACCGGAGGCCCAATTACCCCCTGCCTAGTCTCCCTAATCCCCGAATCCTCCAATCCTAAAATTCACGAATTCAACCATTCACCAATTTTCACGAATTCAACCATTCAATTCAACCACGAATTGAAACGCACTTGTAACGCCTTGGTGTTTCGGGTGTCCATGGGCGACGCCGATTGCTTACCATCAGGTGATCCGTCTGCTCGTTTACCGGCTTATACCATAAAAAAAATTATGAGCATGGGTGCTAAGTAAACGCTGCTATAAATAAATGTATAGAATACCTATAGAAAGGAGTTTCGAGAGCCTCTTCATTGAAGAACTGGTTGATGTATGCGATGAGCACTCGCTTGTCCCAGTCGTCCGTGATATGTCCCCCGTAGTTGATGATCGCGAACAGATACCTCAGCGCGTCCCATGGGACTTCCTCGTATTCTTCCAAGTAATTCGCCAGTAAGTTGTCTGATACCTGGTGGTAAGGATGTCTATTTAAACTTCCGTGTAATTGTACATTTTATTTATTTACAAATAAATGTAATTAGATTATCAATAGATACTTATTTTTTACGATAGTGATCTGTTTGATATGTATTTCAGTTAATGATTGATTCGCAAATATGAAGACCCGCTTCCGTATTTCAGATATTTTGTAGCTTAACTTGTATAGCAGTTGTTTTTCTGACAGTTTAGAAGATGTTATTGTCCATTTCTCAGTATCTACATACAGTTTTAAGACGATTTATGGCCCTTGGAACGGATTTAGGCCAATTTACTGCAATATAGTTCAATATATTACTGCTAGGGGTTTCGTCTACGTATCCGGTATAACAATCCCAAGAGTGATTCTAGACCTATATGTGCCTGCGGACGGCGAGCATGGGTGGCTCCCCGTCCGACCAGAAACAGACCCGAGCGTACGGCGCCGAGCGTTCCGCGCGTGACACAAGGAAACTTCGGACCACCACAGATGGGGTCCAATAAGGCTGTTGCCGATACGGAGTCGCGGAGGACTTCACGGGTTGCCGGGGCTCCGGTTTGGAAGTGCAGGAGTAGGAACGGGGTAGTTTTTATTCAGTAAGAGTCTGACACTCCCTCTCGTTTCACCCAGGCAAAGACGTAGAATGATTTTCCCCCCACAAAAAACCTATATATGTAACGTCCTAATCAATTCAGTTTTATCGTAAAGAGCAACAAACATAAATACAGTCATATATATAATATAAGTAGTGCAGTGTAGTTACGTCGAAGTCTGCGTCGTTGAAGCTGTAGACGGCGTTGTACCCGAGCTGCCGGAACCGCTTGCGCGCGATGAGCGTGCAGTGGAAGAACGACACGCAGAACAACAGGCGCCGGTACTTCGGGGTCGCCTCGTCGAACTTGTCCTCGTTTATGTTCGCGAATAGACGGACCAAGTTGCCTTTCAAGCCCTGCGCGAGGATATAGTAATGGTTAAAATTGTGTTAATTATAATGGAACTGCTTTTTGATAATATGAAATTATTCGTTGGCCAAGTGGTCGCAAGTGCGACTGTCGGGCAAGGGGTCTCGGGTTCGATTCCCGGGTCGGGCAAAGTATTACTGGGTTTTTAAAAAAAATCTCAGTAGTAGCACGGAGTATGGAATTGTGTCCGGTATATGGCAATAGGCTCACCCCCTATTACATGGGACTCATAACATAAATAGTGAAAAGTGGGTGTTACATCATACAGTTGCATAATGTGCACCTCTGCCTACCCCTTCGGGGATAAAAGGCGTGATGAATGAATGATGAATTTGTGAAATTGTGCTGTATCGTCCAGTTTCAATAACCTGTCTGTAGATTTTGCTTACTAAAGATAGAATTTTGACACACTTTGTATAGAGCTCATGTCAAAATTCTATTTCTAGTAAGCAAATCTACAGATAGATAGGTTATTGAAACTGGCTGTAATTGAATTGAATATTGTTCCGATTGCGGCCATGGATGCAATTTGTTCTTTATAGATGAAATTAAGTAATTAGATGTACTTATTGTGTTAAATTAGAGAGAGAAGGCAATTTCCAATGCACAGAAAGAAATTATGTTGCATTGTATGTACATAAAAACAACATTTGTTATTAAATGTGTACCTATTGTGTATTAAATAATAAAAAAATGCTACATTTCGAACTAAATATCTAATTGTACAGACACTAGCAATTAACTCAAGTACTCTTTAGGAATCAGAGAGTTACAACCGTCCGTAAATATTCTCTATTGATTATTTTTATTATTTGATTTGATCTACTTAATAAAGGAAATTTGAAAGCAATAAATAGACGCTTGTACAGTTAGTTTGTAAAGTCTCTCTTACCTACTAAAGTCTCTGTATACTTAAACAGAGTCTAAACCTCTTGATTAATGAGCAAAACCTACGTAGGCAATTAGTATTCCACCCTATTTACATAGACATAATTGGGATAAAAATGTTGATCACTTGAATTTTATATATGTACTGTCCTCTGTACTGTTTGTATGTACATGAATTATCAAATAAATAAGGTAGTACCTGTGGCGGCTCCGTGGTCATCTTGATGCTCCGCTGCAGCATGTGCAGGGGGAACTTGTTGTCCGGCATGGAGGACAGCCACAGGCGGAACCGGGGGTGGATCTTGGGGTTGTCCAGCCCCCGCAGGGAGCCCAGCCACTCGCACGCCAGGTGGCAGTTGGCCAGGAACACCCAGCCTCCCTCCTTCATGCCGTGCGATAGCATCCTGGGGACATTACATTACATTGTTCTTGCTGTACAAACTAGTTCTTCGTATTTTCAACTTTATTTTACCAATCAAGTCTACATTTGATATCCATAATGGATATAGTTTTGAAATAAAAATTATAATGTAAGTATGGTCATCAAGATTAACAACTTGAATGTCAGTATGAGACACAATAGAAAACACATTGCGTTTCTTTAAGAGTGTGTACCAAATATCGGACCGAAGATCAAGAAGGGACAAAAATTCCAATTACTTACTAAATTTAACCCAAACAGACAAACGGGGCAAGCTAAATAAAAACTATTTAATAGTAATAACAGAAAACAAGAAACCATCGTACCTAGTAGCGGTGGCAGCCTGTCCCTGCCCCAGACTGAGCGACTGGAACCGGTCGAACATCTTGACGTCCTGCGACAGCTGTATGAGCGCCGCCGTGGGGTCCACGCCCGGGGACAGCACGAACAACAGGGACGTCTTCCACGACGACTCCTCCCACGCCGCCTGCACCCACGGCGTACAGGACAGAAGTAAATGCACACATACATATACCCCTTTTTATACGATAGCGAGAAGACGGACCATCAGATGGTAAACAAGTGATGCAGCCTATTGACACCTCCACACTCAATACTAGAAGAACCATAATTGCCTTTAGGCAGTTAAGATTTGCCAGTTGGTAGTTGGAGATGGAGAGAAAATTGAGCCTCCAGAAACCTAAACACGGTGAAACACAACGCATCGGGGATCGCGAGACGATCTCCAACGACACGTAAGCGCGGGCCTGCGCACGGCGAGCATGGATGGCTCCCCGTCCGACCAGAACCATACCAGAGCCTACGGCGCCGAACGTTCCGCGCGCGACACAAGGAGACTTCAGCCCACCACGGATGGGGCCCAACAGGGCTGATGGCGATACGGAGCCGCGGAGGACTTAACGGGTTACCGGGGCTCCGGCTCGAAGAGCAGGAGTAGGAACGGGGTGGTCTTTAGTCAGTAAGAGTCTGATACTCCCGCCTGCCTCACCCAGGCGGGAGAAGACATTCGATGATTTTCCCCCCTTAAAAAAGCATTGTTTCGTGCCGGTTTCCTCTGAAGCCGTGGTATCACTCCGGTCGCGCTGGCCTAGCATGAGTCTTACACAAGAAAAAAATCTGTATTATGGATATACGTATACTAGCTACTTCCACGCGGTTTCACATGCTCTGCTCAGCTCCTATTGGTCGTAGCGTGATGTTTTATAGCCCATAGCCATCCTCGATAAACGCTATCCAACACAAAAAGAATTATTCAAATCAGACTTGTAGTTACGGAGATTAGCGCGTTCAAACAAACAAACTCTTCCGCTTTATATAATAGTATAAGATAAGATTTAAACGAGAAAGCCTCCATATTCAATAATTTAAGTATGTCTTTTAACTTTTATAAAGATAAATGAGTTAGACTGACCCGTATATCGAGTACAGGCGGCTCGACATATCTTGGGCCGAGTACATTGATGATGAACGTAGTGATGCAGGCGGACACTCGGTCCACGCGCAGTGATCGAATGAACAGGATCTTCTGGAACTCGCTGCAGATGTCGTTCCAGTCGCCTGGATATTGCATCACTCGTTAGTAATAAAAATATGTTTTATGTTAAACGGTTTTAATGAACTCTATTTGTAAGCGACTACGATGAAACGAAAATATGTAGGTTGCTTATGAGTCGACGTGCTCCATTGTAGACCGCATCATCGCGCACCACCAGGCGAGGTAGTCGTCAAACGTCGGCCTATGAAATATAAAAATTAGGGTTATGATTTTAAAAATCCAGCCCTTTTGCTTGATATCCATAATGAAGGTAATTTCGACTGCACGGTTGGTGCGGTGGCTGGGCAACTGGCTGCCGCGCAACGTGTTGGGTTAGATTCCCGCACGGAACAACTCTTTGTGTGTTGTATTGTATGTTTGTAAACGCACCTACGATACAGGAGAAAATCCTAGAATGGGGCAACGTTTTTTTTAAAAACAAACGGAAATTAAAAAAAGAAAAGGGAAGATTATGGGAAACATTAGTATATGCCCATTCTTCCCACGCGTGTCGTGAGGGACTATCATTTGACAGCGACCGTACAGCAGCATTCTCTCATCAACGTGATTTTTTTAAACTGCGATCTCAAACTTTTTTAGACTGCCTCGCTAGCCGAGTGGACGCAAATGCGACTGCGGGGCAGGGGGTCTTGGGTTCGATTCCAGGTTCGACCGAAATATTATTGGGTCTGAAATCGTCCCCGGTACATACCGGGGTGAGCCTATTACCATATGCCAATAAGCTCACCCCCTATTACATGGGACTCATAACACAAATATTGAAAAGTGGGTGTTACATGGTACAGTGGCGGAGATTATGTAGCATCTATCATTTGATGACAAAGATGATGATCATGGTAATATGAAGGATTGGTTATTAATTTCAGTAGTAATTTAAAAAGACAATTTAATTTATATGGCAATAGGCTCACCGCCTATTACATGGGACTCATAACATAAATAGTGAAAAGTGAGTGTTATATTGTACAATGGCATAATGCGCACCTCTACGGGGATAAAAGACGTGATGTTATGATGATGATGATGATTTAAAAAGGCAGTAATTACCAATAAGAGGCTGAGACTCAGGCTCTGGATGTAGATACCACTCCTTCCACTCCTTGCTGAGTGGCTCGAACACGTCCACAATGCCGTGGAAGCCCGGCAACTTGTCCAACTCTGTTATATTGTCCCAGCACTCGTCTGGCATCCAATCTGTTACCGTTCATTCATTTAATGGGTATGATGACAGGGTATGAAAATTAAAAATATAATTAGTCCGTAAGTTAGGTAATGAAAAAATATTAGACACGTATTTTTTTATTTTGTCGTATAATAAAACAATACTTAGATAAAACGAATCAAAGTTTAGGAGTGGGGGCTAATTTCTTAGTACAAAATGTACTGAGAAGTGACGTCACGCGACATTTTAAATCAATATATCTTCGAAACTATTCGTTTCTGTGAGAAAATAAAAAATACGTGTCTAATGTTTTTAAATAATCTATCAGACGGACATTAAAATAAAAATTAGTCGTCTACCCTATTTCATTAACTAAAAATCGCGGGTTACTCACGTGAATATACTGAGAAAAGCTCTACTAGTTTCGAACCACAGAAGGGGTTCTTCCTCATACATACAGGTGAACAGAACCTCCTTGATTAAAGTCGTTTCAAAAAATGGATTCACATTTGAACAGTGTATGGAATCTCAGTAACTGAGAACTATCCTATCATGATTTATCTCAAAGCTCTTCAATTGAGTACTTTCCTTAATCCAAAATAAATGATTTCGACTGTTCAATACAATAAACTAATAAACAAAAATTGTCTTTTTTGACAGTTCGAAAAAATATTGAATTTGACTTGTAGACAAATTTAATACCCAATTCCGATCCTTATCTTCGGTATCAACTTGTGTGAACTCTTTGTTTAAATATTTTTTCATATTATCTATACATATAATAAAATTGTAGAAAAGTGCTGTCTGTACATTGAAAATAAAAATAAAAAAAATAGCAGGGGTTATTGTTATGTCGATGTCGAACCAAAAAATGTAATTAACTTTTTTTTGTCTGTTTGTCTGTTCACGCTAATCTCAGAAACGGCTGATCCGAGTTGGATGCGGTTTTCACGAATATATTGTGGTATGCTTCAGTTATGCTTTAGTGTTTGTTTCGTGTCAATCGGTTCATGAATAAAAAAGTTATGTCAAATTAAAGAATCACGTCGTGAGTATATATTTAAAAAAAAAACGCTGCTCATAGTCACTATTCCACGCGAACGAAGTCGCGGGCACAGCTAGTGTATAATAAAATCGCGATTGTTTCCAAAATTAACACAAGAAGTGACACAGACGACCGATCACTGTTAACTGAGAGCTCCCTATTAAATTCTATTATTAATTATAATATATTACTGGTTGGATTATCCGGCTGTTCCGATCTGTCGAGGACAACTCCTCCCTTCAAGAGAAATATGTATTCGTTGCGACTCATCTTGCCATTCTGGAATAGAATCCGGGACACTATGTGGAAAGACAGCAGTAGCTTGTGTCGCTCAAATAATGCGCGACATGTGTTCCTGTGGGAAAATACATAAAAAGCATATTAACTCTTGGAGTACTGTCATTATAGACTCAATTGAAGAACAATAGGTGTGCAGACACCGGTGTCCTCGAGTATTTGACAGTTGAAACATAATAGAAAGTTAAAATAATTTCGCGTGGTCGCAAATGGACCTGGTGAGCTGTAGCTGGAAGGAGCTGGAGATGTAGGTGGTGAGCAAAGGGGCTTTAGAGCTCTCTCCCATAGGCGACTAAATGTAGCGATGCAGTCGCGCGTTTAGCAAATGCGCTATGTAGCGCTGCAATAGCGCTGCAATAGCGCTACTAACGTGCTACTGCACCGCGATTGTATCGATACAAACGCGCGACCGCGTCGCACTTCCAGTATTGACGCTGCTTCTATTGCCTACGCTTCAGCTGCTTACGTCAAAGCAACACCAAAGACAGCGTTACTAATGTTGCCTCAACGGAGTCCATCTTGCAACTGTACTAATCCAAGTTATTTTTATATCGTAGTTGCAACGCGACCGAATAGCGTTTTTATTTTAATTAGGCGCTCTGATTGGTTGGTTTACTAGAACCGGCCAATCAGAGCGCCGAACGCACTCGATACTATTACGTTACGATTGCGATAGTTATTCGTGCTTGGCACTCTGGTCCCGTGGGCGAGAGCACACAGTCAGCGACCGTATTAATGCTACGCGAGACACCATTGCTACAAAAGTCGCCTGTGGGCTAGGGCTCTTACACTCGTTATTGATGTTTTTATTAAGTTACCCCATACTTATGGAACCTTTACCTGTATCGTGGGTACGTTTACTCACGCACAATATACAATATGATCTGCAACTACAATTATTATAAGTGGATAATCCAGTTATTGAAATTAGGAGAATCAAATCTGCGACATGTTGCGTAGAAGCCGGTCGCCCTGGTCACAGTTACTAATTAGTAATTCAAATGTTCTTTCCCCATACGATCACCGGTGACCGCTCTCCACTAACTCCATTATAGACCTTATTTCCGATGTTTAGAGACTACTTTTATATAAACAAATTTGGTGATTTTAGGTACGATATATCAACCATCCCATATATCCCCAAGCAGTCACCGGTGACCGGTCTCCACTAACTCCATTATAGACTTTATTTCAGATGTTTAGAGGCTACTTTTGTATAAACAAATTATGGTGATTTTCAGTATGATAATTATATCAAACTACTAGCTACTTCCGCGCGGTTTCACACGCTCTGCTCAGGTCGTATTGGTCGTAGCGTGATGTTTTATAGCCTATAGTCATCCTCGATAAATGCACTATCCAACACAAAAAGAATTATTAAAATCAGACTTGTAGTTACGGAGATAAGCGCGTTCAAACAAACAAACAAACTCTTTCGCTTTATTTAATAGTATAAGATTGAATCTTATCTAATTTCGATTTACTTTACAAACATCAGAAACTTACTTGTAAACAGCGTAGGTATGGAACTCGTTAAGATTATTGATCCTGTCCTCCAGTTCCCCCGCCTTAGGACTACGGTCTATAGAGTACATGAACAGGTCGATGTATGCGTCCAGGGAGAACTGGTACATTGGGTCGATACGGGACAAGTCGTTCAGGGCGAAGAATAGCACTGATGCACGAATTGCCACTGGGACGTAACCCTGGTATAAATAAATGAAAATATGTCCAAATAATTAAGTGATATTAGAAGAAGAACATACAGATCACCTAATGGTAAGCTATCTGTTACATAGGGATTCAGGATAGGGAGTAGGATTGGGCCTCCGATAACCGGGCCTCATACGTTAACAAAACGTTATATCATACCATGTATGTGAAGTTACCGGACTCCACTTCCCTCCCATAATAAAGTCAAAAAAAAGTCATAGCATTTATTTCAATTAAACCATAGTTTGGTACTTTTGAAACGTCAACAAATACAAAATAAATAATAGTCTGTCAGTCAGTCCGTCAGTGAAATTAGGTGAAGCTAGGTGCTCATTCCAAAATGTTGATTCGAATGAAGAAGAACGAGCAAGAAACTCCATTCGTTACTCTTTTTTAAAAAAGTATGTACAAGGCTAGACACACTTAAAACTCCCACCAGTACGCTACTGTAGGGGGTTTCCATTAGCATTGACGACTGGTGATCAGTCCGCTCGTTGTCTCCCATATTGACTAGTATATTTCACTTATACTCTTTTCCAACCTTTTGAACGCCACAGTCAGCCCACAGCCGACAATAAACCGTGATTTTTAAGTACATTTAGTTTGGCTATAGCCGACCACATAAAGTACTGTTACGCATGCTCTAAAATATCATGCTAAAGTTAGCTGGTGACTGTTTATCGATCGCTATTTAAATAAGAAATGTACAAATATATATTCACTCACCGCTCTAGCAGTGTCGATTTCTTTCTCAGTGACCTGTGATGTGATGAGTGCCTCCTTGACCTCTAGTGAGGTCCTCTGTGAGGTCTGTAGAGTTATGAACAACTCCTCGTTCTCCAGGAGAGGGACTTGAGACTCGTACATTATGCGGAGGAGGTCGTTCTCTAAGTCCACCTACAAGAGAAATAGATAATGCCTTTTTTATTAACTTTTGTAGTTTCAATGTTTGTTGATAACATTACCAACGGTAGATATAATAACACTAGCTACTTGCGCACGGTTTCACATGCTCTGCTCAGCTCTTATTGGTCGTGGCGTGATGTTTTATAGCATATCGCCATCCCCGATAAATGCGCTATCCAACACAAAAAGAATTATTCAAATCAGACTTGTATTTACGGAGATTAGCGCGTTCAAACAAACAAACAAAAAACAAACTCTTCCGCTTTATATAATAGTATAAGATAAGATAACACATCACGCCTTTTATCCCCGAAGGGGTAGGCAGAGGTGCACATTACGGCACTTAATGTAGGGGTTGTAAATCCCTACAGTGTTGATTATAAGTTTATGTTGCAATGTTGAATGTTGTTTATGTTAAATGAGTAGACGACCAATCTCTTAGATAGTTTTATTGCTACTGAATTAAATTAATTATGTAGTTTACAATGTTCAGAAATGCTGATTACGATGATTTAATTATTCGCGCGTATGACGACAAAGTCAATGTACAGCGTAGCTCGTACATCTTGCCCTCTCAAAAAGATAGGTATAATTATGATCAACTAGAATGTTAAGTATAAAATTAGGTTAAGTGTACAAATAGTAAAATTAATGTAACATAAACTGAATACAATAAAGTTAAAATATAAAGTACATAAGCATTATAATTAATCCTTAAATATGTCATGCCATTTTATAGGTGTGGCAACGTGAAGTAGGGGACGTTGCTTTGTCCAAGTTATTTGTGCTCAATGATATTGGTGGCTCCCTGGATTCGAGCATAGCATTATCTTCCATGCTGACTGTTGATCTCCTCCGTGGTGCAGGGTCAGGAACGCGTAACGGCCCAGGAATCGCTTGAGGTATAGGTTGTTTCTTAAGCTTGTAATACCCATATATTGTAGCTGCTATTGCCACAGTCGCCATAAATAGGTATAGTACGATATATTGATGTATATCGTGATATGTTATTTGGTCAGATATAATGTCTTCGGATCCGGCCTCCTTTATCTGTTTTATTTGTTTACCGAGATCATCCAGCAATAACATATTCGCTTCCTTGGTCAGACTTCCATTGTGTACCTCTTGTATAATTGGAACAGACAAATTAATTAAATTGTTTATCGGCGGAATTTCTACCGGAACTATGTCTACTCGAGATCGAATTTCACTCATCTGTAGTTTTCTTGAGTAGGCAGTAAATGTATCGCTGTTGATGACGCAATCGTCGCCAAGTGTCATTACTCCAGCCTTTTGCAATGTTTGTGTTGATATTTGATGCCCACATATGATCCGGATTTTGCATTGTTCGCAACAGAAATATAAATAATGATTCATATTTCTAAGTTCCGTCCATATGTCTTGACAGCGTTCCTGTTTTGTTTGACAATTAGCAGTTTCGTTGTTCCTTTTGCATAAACTCCTCTCATCTGATTTCATGCGATAAATGGGTGTTTGTAGTTGGCATAATCGAGTGGTAGTATCATAATGTATGCACTCGTATAGGTCAGGAGCAGTAATAGGTAGATAGGAGTCTTTTTGTAGGTTTATCGCCATTAAGTCAGCGATTGGCAGTAGGGTGACCATATCTCCACCACTCCTTTTAGGTACAGGTATAACTCGATAGACCTCGTAGTTATCTCTGGTTGTTAAGGGCACCTTCATCTCAACCAACAGGTATTTTGCTGTTATTTTCGCTTTCATTTGAAGAAGGTGATATAAGCGAAAGAAATCTGTTTGCATATTGGTGATAGGCAGGGCCAGATCCTTTGATAGTTGACCAGAAATAATGTTCAATTCGTACCGTAATTGGTCTGGTGAAATGAGATGCGTGTTGATGTCGCCGTTGTAAATATTCTTCACAGTGTCCAACAGTGTCTCCTGGACGTCCTTGAGATGTTCGATTAAGATGTTTGCGGAGATGGCGGACATAGTAAACTCAATGGATAATTCTTGGGACCTTATTTCTTGTTGTAATTCATTGGTTATTTTATCCAAATTAAGTAAGTGTTGGTTGAATAGCTTGTGTTGCATTTCTATTCTTTCTTCAGATCGTCTTAGTACATTGTATTCAGCTTCTATGACAGACGTCTGATTTTTGGCTAACAGTGCCAGATGTTTCTCATTTTCTCTGATAAGGTTAATGTCCCGTGTGTATTGTTCTGCAAATTGGTCATCCAATACACCGAACAAGGAACGTGCGATGGAACCGACACCGTTGATAAGCCCGCGTTTGCTTCTTATGTTTCCTCGGCCTTGCGGACTCAGCAACATGTTGTTGTAGTGTTCAAGTTCAGCGAGCGCGTGTCGCATTTGTAGTGAAATTATTTTACATTGTGTTTTTGGCTTGATCCTTTCACATACATCTTCCAAATGTTCGTTGAATTTTTCTATTACTGTTAAGCTGGTCCAATATGGTGAAAGGTCATAATATACTACTATTTTCCATTCGTCGCGAATTACTTTCAAATTTGTCACTTTGTCGAAATAGAGGCCTTGTTGGATCTCTGCCGTGTTGAAATTATTGTTTGCTGTGACTGGATTTAGAAAATATAGCAAAGTCATAACTAGGCTAAATAAGGTTACGTTGCTTGTTGTTTTATTTTTGACGCGTTGTGACCGTTCTGTGCCTCTGTTTGTTGATGGATGAGTCGCCCTTTCACAATGATTGGATGTAATTTGTTGTTTTTGTTGTTCATTGTTTTCTAATGGCAAGATAGATATTTTTGTTATGGGTCTCTTCATGTAACCATTTTTGGTCTTGAGGTCTACCACGCGAACGTATCCATCTTCTCCCGGGTAAATGTTGGTTACTTTACCCATTAACCATTTCCCTGTAGGCATGTTATCGTCATGAATGACAACTACGTCTCCGATTTGTATGTTTCGTTGAGGCCTCTGCCACTTAGTTCTGACCAACAGCTGACTCAAATATTTTTCCTTCCATTTTTTCCAAATGTCCGCGAAAATTTTTCTAGTTAATTCCCATCTTGTGCGAGCATCTTCCTTTGTTTCAATGACGGTCAAACCTGACCTTCCTGTTAAAAAGTGGGCTGGCGTCAGACAATCTAAATCTTCGATGTTTTCAGTTAGAGGGCACAAAGGTCTAGAGTTTAAGCAGGCTTTCAGTTTAGATAGGATGGTGTAGTACTCCTCAAACGTAAGCCTTTGTTCTCCTACAACTCTTTTCAGATGGTGTTTCAAGCTTCTTACTGCTCTTTCCCACAATCCCCCTGCAGATGGCCACGCAGGTGCATTAAAGTGCCATTCTATGTTCATCTCAACTAAATCCCTTAGTAATCCTTCATTCTTGTAAGTAATTTCGATTTCCTCATATTGTTCTCGAAGTTGTCTATGTGCGCCGATGAAATTCGTACCGTTATCACTATATAAGTGCCGTGGAGCACCCTTTCTTGCCGCCATTCTGTTTAGAGCTGCCAAAAATGCTGAACTGGTTAGATCGGAGACCAATTCCAGGTGTACTGCTTTCGTCACCATGCAGATGAATACGGCAATATATCCTTTGGTTGCCTTGGCTCCTCTTCCCTTGTTCATTTTGATGTCAACGAAGCCTGTGTAGTCCACTCCTGTATGGTAGAATGGTGGAGCGGGGTTCGTTCTTGCACTTGGTAGCTCACCCATCAGTTGATGTTGTTTTACCGGGTTTATTTTACGGCATGTAACACAGTTTCGAATTTGTTTCTTTGTTGCTCGAATACCCCCAATAATCCAGTACCTTTGTCGAAGATACGATAGGGTAAGACGGGGCCCACCGTGGAATGTTGTACGATGAGCTTGATCAATAAGTAACTGTGTCAGACGGCTCTCGTGTGGGATGATCATCGGATGTTTCATTTCTTCGTTTAATATCGTGTTCCTTAATCGTCCTCCGACACGTAGCAAATCTTCGTGATCAATGTAAGGATTGAGAGTTCTTAGTTTGCTGTTTGCTTGCACAGTTGATTTCTTGCGTAAGTGACTAATATCTGTGTCAAATATTTTATGTTGTGTTTGTTTCACAATTACTTTTGTTGCATTATTCAATTCCTGCAGTGTAAGATACTTCGGTAATTGACGTCGCTTTGGGTTCAAGGCTCTGAGTATCCAAGCAATTATGCGAACGATGTGATTAAAAGAGCTATGTTTGTGTAATAATTGTTCTGTTATATTTGTTGTTGCTATGTCTATTTGGGTCGCATTTGCTTGTATCGGAGTTTTTTTTTTTCATTTCTTGGTCTGTAGTATATGTTTGTTTTCCTATGTCACTTGTTCTAAAAGATGATAGCCATTCCGGACCTTGCCACCACAGTTGATTGTCTTTCAATTGACCAGCAAATTGGCCTCGGCTAGCGGCATCAGCAGGGTTTTCTGTTGTTTTGACGTATCCCCACTGGGAGCCTGGCATCACTTCATGTATTTTTCTGACTCTGTTTTCCACATATACTTTCCATCTTGATGGGTCTCCTTGTAGCCAACCCAGTACGACCATGGAGTCAGTCCACCCGTAGATTCGCAGTTCATGTTGATTTAAGGCTTCTTTTATCTTAAGCATTAGTTTAGCTAATAGATAGGCTCCATTTAATTCTAGTCTGGGCAATGTTGTTAGTTTTTTCTGTGGTACAAGTTTAGACTTAGCAGCGACAAGTGTGATTTTTGTTGACGCATGGACTCGTGCGTAAATTACGGCAGCGAAGGCGGCCAGCGAAGAATCGCTGAACCCGAATAATTCTATTGTTGAGTTTTCGTTACTCATGAGCCATCTAGGTATTTCACAAGTATTTATCGCTTTTATATCCGCTTGTATCTTGTACCACTCAGTGTTTATGTTATCTGATACTTCGTCGTCCCATTCTAATTTTGTTTCCCATAATTTTTGGAACAATAACTTCAGTTTTGTTGATAAAGGAGCGAGCCATCCTAGTGGATCGAATAATTTCGATATCTCAGCCAGTAGACTGCGTTTTGTATGTTTTTGGTTCTCGTTTGAAATAGAGCATTGGAAAGTGAATTTGTCTTCCTTTGGGTTCCAACACAGACCAAGAGTTTTGGACGTTTGTTCTGTTCTGAATTTGAAAAAGTCTTCATTGACCTGTTGAGATGAAACTTGATCTAGTAGCGTCGCGTTGTTTGTTGTCCATTTCCTAAGATTGAACCCTCCACTTTTAAGCAACTGTTCCAAGTCGGAAATTATTTTCTTTCCTTGTTCTGTTGAATGCGATCCATGAACTAGGTCATCCATATAAAATGCTTCTTCTAGTACCTTTGAAGCCTCTGGAAACTGGTTTCTTTCATCTGCTGCTAATTGTCTTAACGTCATCATGGCTAAGAAGGGCGCTGCCTTGGTACCATATGTGACTGTTGTTAGCTGGTAAGACTGTAAGGGTTGATTCGGTGAGTCTCGCCATACAATCCTTTGTAATGGTTGGTCACATTGAGCTACTAAAATCTGTCGATACATTTTTTCTATGTCAGCGGTGTAAGCATATTTGTACTGTCTCCACTGAATTAGTAATGTCTGCAGATTTTGTTGTAGGTTTGGGCCCCGGTACATAAGATCGTTTAAACTACATCCAGTTGATGTTTTTGCGGATGCATTAAACACCACCCTGTACTTGGTTGTGGTTGATTCGGCCTTGTGGACGCCATGATGTGGTAAATAGCACTCCGGTGCTGTAATACTCGTTGATAGTTTCATGTGACCCAGTTCAATATATTCTGACATAAACTCTCTGTAGGATTTAGCTAATTGCTCTTGTTTTTGTAGCTTTCTTTCCAGATTTTTGAACTGAGCTATGGCCATCGGTTTGGATACACCTATTTTGTTTGCCATGTCAGGTTTCATTGGCAATCTGACCTCATATCTCCCATCATTTGAGCGCTGTGTTGTGTTGGTGTAATATTCAATGCATGTTTGATCTTCCTGTGAGATATTAGATTGATCACTAATGTCCTCCGCATCCCAGAATTGTTTCATATCTTCCACATTATTCAATACTACATTGCACTGAAATGTTTTAGCGCTTCCGCACAGAAGCCATCCTAGTTGCGTTTGCTGCGCTATAGGTTGGGTGACGTCATCACCTTTGATCATTCTCCCAGCATTATTTGAGAGTAAATGTCAGCTCCAAATAAAAGATCCACGGAGCTACTTTTGTTGAAGTTTGGATCTGCTAGATTAATGTTTTGCAAGTGAGTCCATGATGGTTTTGTAAAGGATCTGTTTGGAAGGTTTTTGATTAGGTTTTTCATAATGAGTACAGATGTTTCAAACTTAAACTCATTATATGACGATTGGCATAAGATTGTTATTAGCCCTTTACAGCTTGATTCCTTTTGTCCAACTCCAAAGATAACGCCTTTGCATTTTTGACGTTTCGCACCAATAATTTGCGCGGCATGTTCGGTAATCAATGATATCTGTGACCCTTGATCTATAAGGGCTCGCATATTATGTAAGGTTCCATCAGCACCTTGTACCTTGACTATCGCGGTTGCTAATAGAATCTCATAGTCATTGTTATCTCGAGAGACATTGGCAGAAATAGACTCTCTTTCTTCAGTGCTCTTATTGCATGCATCGTGTAATAGCGTGTTGTGTTGACCTTTGCACTTTCGGCATCGGTAAGTCGATGTACATTTGCGCCCATTATGGCTAAATAGACAATTAACGCATAACTGCAATTTGTTCACTGTGCTTAGTTTTGCGTCATTATTCATTTCTAAAAACTTAGCACAACGATATATGCCATGTTCGTTATTGCAAAGTGGACATTTCAGTGTTAATGTATGAAATGATTTCGTAACCACCTTGTTGCTATCTGACTGGTTGTATTTGTAATTGTTGTGGTACTGTTTCTTTGGGTATGAGTTTCCTTGGCTCTGTGAGTTGGATCCATTAGTTTTCTGGATAACATCTTGTTTACGCTGAGATGATTCCAATGAGGTAAACTTTGCTTCTATGTAGTCTAGGAACTCTTGCAACACAGGCAGCTCACGGGAATTTTTCAACGAGTCATTGTAGTCTGAAAGTGTTACTGAGTCCAACTTCAGTGACAACATGTGCACTAGCATAGGATCCCAAGATGTAATATCAACCTCCAAGTTTTTTATAGCGTGTAGGCACTCAACAGTGACATCATGCATTCTCTTGAGTGCTGTTAGGGACTGTTGTTGCATGATCGGCATATTGAGCAGCATATTGAAATGTGTGGCAAATATATGTTTCTTGTTATTGAAACGGCGGTTGAGAATTTCCCAACACATCGAGTAGTTTTCTGAGCTAATCTGTAAATGCTGTATTAGCCTTTCAGCTTCTCCATGCACCTTGCTCTTCAAAAACTGCATCTTTTGTGCCGGCGACAACGATATATTATTGTGTATCGCTTCAGTAAAGAGGTCTTTGAAGGACATCCATTGATTATATTTTCCGTGAAATACTGGTATTTCTAACTTAGGCGTTGTTTTCTGTTGGTGAGTATTTGCCCACATCTTGGTGTTTAGAGCTCTTTTCACGCTGTTGAATTGCATCTCATACCTCGTGTAGCGTTCGTCATAGGTTACAATCTTGTCGCCGTTAAGCTCGCACTCTATTTCCCAGTGTAGCTTATCAACAGCTGACCAACGCGCTTGTAGTATTTGGAGAGCATCCTCAAACTCCCACTTCTCTGTTATAAATTCCACTTGAATGTTAGCTACAGCTCTCATAAAAGCCTTGAAGTTCGCTGTTTGTTTACGAAGCAGGTCATCCAGCTTGCTGTTGGATCCTATGTCTCTCTTCGTGAGGATATGTTGTTGTTGGCGAGAAGGAGATCTATCTCTGTCGCTGTCATCATGTGTTTCAGATGGATTGTTCGTGTCACCCTCCTCCCCACTCGATTGATTCTCTTTTTCTCCGGCAACACTCTCTTGAACTTGCTGAGAGGTGCTCGGTGTTGGTGTTACTAATTTCCCAGTTGAGGACTGTAACTGTTTTGAAGACTGTTGGTGTTGGGAAATGATTAGATCTTTCACATCTTGATAAATCTGACGTGTCTTGGTGTACAAAGCAGATGTAAAGTATGGGTGTTTACCGCTTTCTTCTGTCGTGAAACGGTCATGGTTAAATTGAAACTCACCCCATAAAGTTTCTAACATCTGCATTCGCCGCTTGAAATAGTCAGCGTTCTTCCTCTCCCAACCGTCTTTCTTGATGTTGATTCCAACCCTCTGTATGTTGTCAGACAGTTCCTTCTGGTTTTGATACATGTCTGCTGAGGACTCCATCATTCACTGTTATACTTCCGTTAAATACAAACGAAAACTTCGACTTTATCAATGCAGACTATCGCTCCACTCTCTCGGTTCTTGCTATTGTGTGACCACCTTTACTTACGATATTTTGCGACTTCTCAATTGATCACTGGTGAGACCCGCTTCTGGGAGGCCAGTGCAACCGATTCGCGAACGTAAATAAATAGTGAATCACACCGTTGCTCGAAGGACCATATGTAGGGGTTGTAAATCCCTACAGTGTTGATTATAAGTTTATGTTGCAATGTTGAATGTTGTTTATGTTAAATGAGTAGACGACCAATCTCTTAGATAGTTTTATTGCTACTGAATTAAATTAATTATGTAGTTTACAATGTTCAGAAATGCTGATTACGATGATTTAATTATTCGCGCGTATGACGACAAAGTCAATGTACAGCGTAGCTCGTACACCACTATACAATGTAACATCCACTTTTCACTATTTATGTTATGAATCCCATGTAATAGGGGTGAGCCTATTATTGCCATATACCGGGCACATTCGTTAGATACACGATAGATATCAATCACTGCTAAATGCCTGGAAGATTCGTTGAGCAAATGGTAGCTAGTGTGACAACAAAATAATTAACTGAATTATTAGTTACAATCTATACAGATAAATAAAATTGGAGTGTCTGTTTGTAATATCAAAATAACCTCTTTTTACTACATGCATATAAATATACATACGATGCACATATCGAAATAATATGTGAATTTTTGTCTGCCTGTCTGTTTGTACTGGCTAATCTCATTCTCTCTCAAAAGCATTGAAAGTGATGCAACATTGAGCGTGGCAGGGAGTGCCATGGTTATTCTGCTCTTACCTCCAGCTTTACAATGCGCAGTTTTGCTCCCTCCCCCCCCCCTCTCCAGAGTACGATGTAGGGCGGCCTGGACGTCCACGTTCAGAGTAGTTGAGCTCTGAAAATGGACGTTCATAGAGGACTTTCAGAAGCCCCACTTTGAACAAACAGACACACTTACAAGCACTTTCTTGTTATGCGCGATGGACAATACAAGCGTGTCCTTCATCTGTTCCAGTTGAGGTCTCTCCTTGCGTACGACTATGCCGAGTAGTTGAGACGTCAGTCCTTGCTCCTTCACCGCGAAGTTTACCATTGTGGTCTTCGTTAAAGTTTCCGGAGTGTACACTGGGTTACCTGCACCAGAACATATTAGACGTCGATTGTCTCCAAATTACTTTTTTTTTATGTCATAAGCCGGTAAACGAGCAGACGGATCACCTGATGGTAAGCAATCGGCGTCGCCCATGGACACCTGGAACACCAGAGGCGTTACAAGTGCGTTACCGGCCTTTTGGGGATTAGGAGTTTTAGTATTGTTAGGGATTCAGGAATTGGAGAGATTGGGGAAGGGCAGGGTAATTGGGTCTCCGGTAACCTCACTCACACGACGAAACACAACGCAAGCGTTGCTTCACGTCGGTTTTCTGTGAGGCTGTGGTATCACTCCAGTCGAGCCGGCCCATTCATAACGAAGCATGGCTCTCCCACACTTAGTATGACTCTCCCACACTTAGTTTCATAGTATGTCTAAAACACGATTTTCTTGATGTAAATCAGGACAAGAGTTTGTAAAAGTCTTATATTATAATGCTATTCCATGAAGGCATACGGGGCTGATATGTTCCTGAACGAAAAGTCCCTAAAACGTATTTTTTTTAAATGGGACAATCCCGCCACAACCTCCCAAAACCGCTGCAACTCCTGTAAGTCAGGATCTACAATAGAAACAACCATGAAACCACCGGAACACTGAAGTCCGGCGCATCCCAGGGACATGAGTAAAACGTATGATAAAAAAATGAAGGCATAAGTTATATGCATAGAGCCTGGTGTCGTACCCGGTGTCCGTGATAATCTCGCAATGTATTAGACTTGCCGATACATATATAAACAGCAAAAGTTACGTTGCACTTTTTTAGAGAAAAAACTAGAAATCTTGGTGTTACATTAAACTAAAGCAATATTAACTCGTTGAGTACCGTCATTATAGACACAATTAAAGAACAATAGGTTGCGGTCACCGGTGTCCTCGCGGTGTTTGACAGTTTAACTTACAATGTGTTAAGTGTGGGAGAGCCATGCTTCGACACTGCTGGGCCAGTTCGACCGGACTGATACCACCAACGAGCAGAAAACCATAGTGAAACATTCGAAGCGTTATGTTTCGTCGTGTGAGTGAAGTTACTGGTATCCCTATTGGGGGTGATTGTACTTCCCAATCTTCTTAATCCCTGAATCCCCAAAAGTCCTTAAATTCCTAAATCCCAAAAGGCCGGTAACGCATTTGTAACGCCTTTAGTGTTTTGGGTGTCCATGGGCGCCGATTGCTTACCATCAGGTGATCCGTCTGCTCGTTTGCAGGCATATCTCATAAAAAAATACTCACCAAGTTTAGTAGTCAAATAAAGATGAAAATCTTCATGGTAGGAGACCATCTTGTCATTAAACTTGATGACCTTCGAGGAACCGATGGTGACGACGGCCTTCTCTAAAATAGGAGCTATGGAAGGATCCAGTACTTCGCCAACATTCTGAATGATTATTGGCTTGCCGGTTGAGAGGCAGGTCTCCATCACCTTCATATAGTTCGGCTGACCAAAGTCCACGACCTAGAAGATGATTGCACTTTCGTAACTGTTTAAAAGTTTGTAAGCTAATTAAAATACAGTATGTCTTTAAAGCCCTTATTTAACACTAGTGATGTTTAGCCCAGGCCCAAAATCAAACAAATATGTAGCTTAATAATAATATTTTCGACTTATTCACGTAACTTTGACAAGGAACTCGACTAGTTTCAAGCCATGCTAGAGGTTCATATTCATGAGAGGTTCATATGCAGCATTCTTAGTCGATTTCCTCGTCAAACAGTTACGTGAGTAAGCAGAAAACATAGTAATAAATTTAGCATGTCTCACGGAAATTAGGTACATAACATAACATAACGCCTTTTTATCCCCGAAGGGGTAGGCAGAGGTGCACATTTCGGCACTTAATGCCACTGTACAATGTAACACGCACTTTTCACTATTTATGTTATGAGTCCCATGTAATAGGGGGTGAGCCTAATGCCATATCCGGGCACATCTCCAGGCTTCGTGCTACTACTAAGATTTTTAAAAACCCAATAATACTTTGCCCGACCCGGGAATCGAACCCGAGACGCCTCGCCCGACAGTCGCACTTGCGACCACTCGGCCAACGAGGCAGTCACGGAACTTATAATATAACAATATAATAAATAGCTTTTTTATACCGAATACTTGCTGGTTTATAGCAGCGACTATGATTGTATGGTCGATACTGTAATTACGTTGGTCAAAGTCAAAATGAAAATCATTTATTTCAATTGTACCACAGACGCACTTTTGAACGTAAAAACAAGATACTGAAATAAAAAATGACAGTCTGTCGGTCAGTCCTCTAGTGAAGCTATTTGCTCATTCCAAGGTGTAGATTCCTATGGAGAAGAATGATCAAAAAACTCCATAGGTTACTCTTTTTCAATCATGTTCACAATACAATATTCTTGGTTATATGATTATTTATTTATTTAACTTTATGCAACAAGAGTACATAGGCGGGCTTAATGCCATGGGCATTCTTACTAGCCAACCTTTAGGTGATGCAGTGAGAGCGTGGTCGGTGCAATAAGTTGACAACGAGTATCTAATATAATTTTTAAAATGACAGAATACATACAACGGACTATTGTAAATATAAATATTTTATTAATATAAATTAATATACATATAAATAAATAAGTATATATGTATATATATGTGCAATCAAATATTCAAACATAAAAGAGATAGGTTATGAAGACTCTACCAACTTTCCACCCGAGATCCACTTACGAACTCCAACCTTGAACGCCTGCTTACGGGCTATGATTAGTTGGCTTGATGCTTCTCACCTGTATGCCATTCTGCTCCTCTAGCCTGGAGATCCATATGAGTGCCTGCCCCTGAGGGTCCACGGCTAGCGGCCACCGCGTCGCCCGCACTACTATGATGCCGTTCTCAGCACTGAAGTTGTCATCTACAATGATATATTATATTTGGCTGAAGAACTGTCGACTATTTTTAACCGACTTCAAAAAAGAGGATGTTCTCAGTTTAACCTTTATTTATGTATGCGTATGATTGTGTGCAATATCTCGTTATTGGCTGCAACGATTTTGATGCGGTTTTCAGATAAGTGTTTGTTACACTTAGGAGAAGGATTTAGTATATTAATCGACTCTAAAAAAATAGGGATTTGAAGTCAGTTTTTACGTAGTTTATAAAGAAGTCGGTTAAAGTGTTATTACCGTAATATAAACTAATATAAAACTTTAGTCTGTATCAACATCACTAATTAGTAAGTAGTGCCCCCCTCACTATAATGTGTTATATAAGGTAGGACACTCATTATTAACGCGGCTGTCTACCTGTCATACTCAGTGTGTGTACACGTCGTGCGCCCTGCACATTATTGTAATAAATCCAAGTAAAATAAATCCGACTTTAATATAATAATCCACCAACATAATACCAACCAGGCAATCCCATATAATTCCAATCTCGTAGGGTAGCGTCGTCCAGTAAGAACTTCTTCATGCTGAGGTCCATGGTCACCGGGAGATTCTCATTACACACCTACATGTATAGTGGAATATCAATAATAGAATCCTAAAGCTTAACGTTACTTATAAAGTTGACCAAGATGGAAAGTTGTACCACGTTTAAAGAAACTCACATCTTATACTCTTATACTTACTCTTATACTATTATATAAAGCGGAAAAGTTTGTTTTTTTGTTTGTTTGTTTGAACGCGTTTATCTCCTTAACTACAAGTCTCATTTGAATAATTATTTTTGTGTTGGATAGCGCATTTATCGAGGATGGCTATAGGCTATGAAACATCACGCTACGACTAATGGGAGCTGAGCAGAGCGTGTGAAACCGGGCTGAAGAGTCTAGTTTATAATATTATCATCATAATCATAATATCAAACACAAAAAATTCACTGCTGAACATAGGTGTCTACTCCAATAACTTCCAGATCGACCGATTGGAAGTTTCCAATCGGTCGATCTTGAAGTCATTAATTATCTACGACCTTCATCAGACCTTCTTGTTCAACTTATAGTATCATACTTTTTTGCAATAAACTTAAAATTACATAATTTGGTAACAACATAGGTACGTGGTACAGTTGCGGAGAACCTAACGAGTAACCGGGGCTCCGGCTCGACGTGCACGAGAAGGAACAGGGTGGTTTTTAGTCAGTAAGAGTCTGACACTCCCTTCCGCCTCACCCAGGCGGGAGCAGTCATTCGATGATATTCCCCCCTTAAATAAAAAAAAAGGTACGTGGTACAACGTAAGTGACAAAGGCTGTACCTCCAAGAACCAGTCTTCCATGAGAGACTCCCTGTACTCGGAGACGAAGGGTCCAAGGTACGCTACGAAGCCAGTAGCAATGAGACAGTCTCCCGGCAAATTGTCAAACTCCTTGTCCAAACGCTCCACTGTTAGCTCCCAGCGCTCCTTCTCGCCTGGAGTTTAAAGGATAAGTATAGTAAAATTAATTTTATAATGCAATAAATAGAGTCCTATTTATTTAAATTTAGTAATCGTTAACAATATGAAAAGTGTTGTTAAGTCGCATTTTATGTCTTTCAAAAACCAAGTTTGTAGTTTGAAATTCTTATAATAACTATCGTGAGATATACTAAATTAACTAAAAATCGCGGGTTATTCACGTGATTAAAGTGAGAAAAGACATCGCCGTGACCGCGCACGCTGCTCATGAGGAAGAACCCCTTTGTGGTTCGAAACTAATAGAGTTTTTCTCAATATGTTCACGTGAGTAACCGGCGATTTTTAGTTAATTTAGTTTTAAATTATTATAACCGACATCTTTAATATTTCTCGCAATTTTACAAGCTGCTCGACTTCATCATTAATTTTTATAGCTTCATTTATGGCATACAAATGGCTTTTTATTGTTACTATACCTAGATAAAAGCACGAGTTACAAACGGCATAGATAAGTAAGTTACCAGAGAGTCCAGTAATAAGTGCTTCAGCTCGTTCGAGCTTGAGTTGCAGCATCCTGGATCGTCTCTCAAGTTCTTCCTTCTGCGCCACCTTCTCATCATACTCCCGCTGCAGCCTGGCGATCATCTCGCTGAGCTCGCGGAGTTTGGCGCGAGCTTCCGCCAGGATCTGCTGCTTCATACGTAACGACTCTAGCGCCTCTTCTAGACGTTCCTTCTTTGGTTTTACTATTCTGAATTATAGATAAGTATTATAATATGTTGTTGTTTATGTCATTTTAAACAGTGACACGACTATTTGTATTTTGTTAAACTATCGTATTTAAGTTGTGTGAAGCTCACTGCGTGACACTTCTAGCGTTGGCTGTAACGCTGGTAATGATCATGGACCCCTGGTGTGGCTCGAAATTAGTTGCGTGACCGGGTCGACAAGTAACTTTATAATACAACCTTATTAATCGGAATGAGTTTCGTGATGTAATCTTAGAGTATATAAAATCTCTAGCTATTTTATCAACAGAGGATGGAAGTCAGGCCCTACATTTATTTTTAGGGTAGAAAATCATCAAATTGCTTCTCCCACTTTGGGTGCGGTGAGAGGGAGTATCAGACTCTTACTGGTTAACAACCACCTCGTTCCTACTCCTACCGAAATGGAGCCCTGGCAACCCGTTAAGTCTATTAACTGTTTAATTTGCAACAAACAATATTATTTCTTATTTTAAACTGACTGACTGCCTCGTTGGCCGAGTGGTCGCAATTGCGACTGGCAAGGGGTCTCGAGTTGGATTCCCGGGTCGGGCAAAGTAGAACTGGGTTTTTTTTTAAATCTGAGTAATAGCACGGAGTCTGGAACTCTGCCCAGTATATGGCAATAGGCTCACCCCCTAATACATGGGACTCATAACATAAATAGTGAAAAGTGGATGTTACATTGTACAGTGGTATTATGTGCACCTCTGCCTACCCCTTCGAGGATAAAAGGCGTGATGTTATGTTATTTTACTCACTTGTAGATCTTGCCATATTTTTCGATGGCTCGCACCCAGAGACACAGAGATTTAGCCGCAGCCGACACTGTCCCCACTATCTCAGGATCAAAGTCCGGTTTGACAGTGTATGTGCCAACTTTCTTCAGCGTCTTATCTGATATGTTATCCTTGTCAAATTCTCGTAGACGGTCCAGGAAGTACTGGTCTCCGAGCTGACGCTTCGCTTCAGCCCAAGTTGGCTCTTTCTGGGGTATGAATGGACTTTAATAAGTGACGGGTCAAAAGGAGGTTCCCATTTTGTCCTGTATACAGGGCAATATTGTCGCTAAAGGAATAAGTTTGTGCATAAATTATTATGTAGCATCGTGACAGACACCGCGTCGCAGGTCGCGAAATGCTGCTCATGAATATAAGCCTCTAACATGGCTTGAAACTAGTCGAGTTCCTTGTGAAATAATAACACGAGTAAGCCGAAAACATAATGATTTATTTAGTATATCTCACGAAAGATATAATACAAATAAAGCTTGTGCATCAACTCTCTAATGAATATTTGATGTTCAATTTCAGTTGTACTATTTACTTTGAGTTTGAGTTTTATTGTGCCTGTACCTCGCAAGTGAAAAGCCAGCAACCTAGCTTCTGTATAGAAGTGGTATCCACGTCGGAACTCCAAAAATGGATGTCAACCATCGAGAAGCAGTTAAACGAAGTCTGCATTATTGCCACAGAAGGCAAACTCAACTCCGAGCAAAAATTAAGAATAACTAACTTGAGCCGCAAAATAGAATCAGGTGTATCGCAAATAGCAGTCTCGTATCAGTCTTTGAAGCAGAAAGCGAAACAAGCCCTCTATATAATTGACGACCTTAGAGAAAAACGTGACCTAGCGGAAGAAATTATGGTGTTGAAAAAGGCTATCAACGACTCTGCCGCAACTAAGAACGTCTCTTTTGCCGATATGGTGAAGAAAGGGCCAAATGATTTTGTGCAACCCCAAAAGCAAAATTCTGTTGCAATTTACCCAGTGAGTAAATTAGTAAAGTGCAGTGACGAAACCAAATCTCTGGTACAACAAATCATACGGCCTGACCAAATGAAGCTACACGTACGTGGAGTCCGAAAAATTCAAAACGGAGGCATAGTAATTAGCACAGACAACAAACAGGATGCTGAGAAGGTCAAGCAGGCAGTTCATCAGTCGTCATCTGGTCTTGTCATCGGTGAGCCCAAAAAACGCCAGCCACGAATCACTGTGGTAGGCGTCCCGACTTCTTTAGTTGACACTGACGTATTGAAGTACATCTACGAGCAAAACATTGCTGAGAAGTTTCCAGAGATGACCATGGAGTCCTTTTTAACAGCAATTAAACTGAGCCACAAATCCGGAAAGAAGGATGCGCCGACCTGTAACCTTATCTTAGAAGTTCCAGCCAACATTCGCAAGGTCCTTATAGCTCAGGAAAGAATATATATAAATTGGAACTCTTGCCCTGTAAGGGATTTTACATTAGTCACCAGGTGTTATAACTGTCAACAGTACGGACATGCAGCTAAATCATGTAGAGGCCCCTCATCATGTGGACACTGCGGAGAAATAGGCCATTTACCACCGGCGTGCACGAAAAAAGGAGAATCCCCTAAATGTGCAACATGTTCTCGGTTTAATAAGCCCAACAATCATAAGACGGGTGACGCAGAATGTCCGGCAAAGAACATAGCTCAGCACAGGTATATCAACTCGATTGATTACGAGGGCGCGTAATGCGTCATGAGTTGATTGGCCTCCTTATTGTACAACAGTGACACTACATATTATGTCGGATTAATCATCACTTTGTTGCTATCCAGCATTTGTGCTTACTCAAACACAACCAAATGAATGACCGTATGGACTTTAGTGTTAGCCTACTTAGTTTATTTCTGCTGATGTAGATAATTCCTCGTCGATAGACATAATGTTGCTGTTTTAAACAAATGTTACTATAGTTGTTATTTTAATATATTTATTAGGTATATTATAGTATATTTTATATGAGGATTAGTTTTATATGTATGTATGTATGTATGTATGTATATTAAAATAATCATATTGTTTTCTGTTGTATAATGTTAAGTATACGGGTCTGTAGAAATAAAATGTGTTACTATAAGAATTATATTTAGAACTCCTCTCGCCTGCGATACAGGAATGTCCTAGTGCAGGCAAATAACATTGTGAGGACAATTGTACGTATTTACGCTCTGTTTTTGTATTTCGCATTTTTTGAATTATGAATAAAAATTTATTATTATTTATTATTTATTTATTATTGTTATGTCATAAAATCTGTAAACCACCATATTTCAGGCAAATAAATGAATCTATCTATCTAGTATAGCCCAGAGTCTGGAACTCTGCCCAGTATATGGCAATAGGCTCACCCTCTATTACATGGGACTCATAACATAAATAGTGAAAAGTGGGTGTTACATTGTACAGTGGTATAATGTGCACCTCTGCCTACCCTTTCGGGGATAAAAGGAGGATAAAAAGTGACGGGTCAAAAGGAGATTCCCATTTTGTCCTGTATACAGGGCAATATTGTCGCTAAAGGAATAAGTTTGTGCATAAATTATTATGTACTCGAGTAGCAACGCGACAGTCGCCGCGTCGCAGATCGCAAAATGCTGCTCATGAATATAAGCCTCTAACATGGCTTGAAACTAGTCGAGTTCCTTGTGAAATGAACGAGTAAGCCGAAAACATAATGATTTATTTAGTATATCTCACGAAAGATATAATACAAATAAAGTTTGGGCACCATCTCTAATGAATATTTGATGTTCAACTTCAGTTGTACTATTTAAGGTAACATAAGCCAAAATACAGACGAAAAAACAAATGTAGCAGCAAGACTCAAAAGACTAGCACAGGGTGTACTTTTTCGTGGATAGCACATAAGCCATTGTAATTTAAAAACTATATGACTTAGAATTTTTTCTATATTTTTCTGATAACTTTTAGAACCTTGCCGATCACTTGGTGCGATTTGATCGTCGACTTCAGGGACACCCTGTATTTTTACGTTTATGCGCAATCACCTCGCAATTGGTTGAAACCGATTTTGATGCGGTTATCATAAAAGTGTTTATTACACTTAGGAGAAGGTTTTATTATATTTAACTAGCAGACTTCAAAAGAGTAGGGGTTGAAGTCAACTTTATCAAAGGTTTTTTTTCTATGTATGTTCACCGATTACACCGACGATTATTGTGAACCAATTTTCAAAAGTCTTTTTTATGTAGTTATTTACATAGTTCATTTTTGTACAAAGCAACCTGGCGACTACAAATCGTACCCATCTACTAAAATGTCGTAGAAAATAACAAAAATGTTTTAATATAACAATGAATTAAAATGTTACCTGCAGCAATATGAGTACAGCCTCCAACACCATTTCGACCTTATATGGAGGTTTCGCATAAGACTTGACTTCAGTGATATCCTTCTTGTTCAGGGCGTCCAAAGCCTGTAAAAAAAAATTGACTGATGGTACTAAAAGAATAAATAAACTCTATTAATTTATGATACAACAAATGTTTTTTTTTGTGCGTTAGTACATTTTTGCTTATATGAAAGTATTGATGGAATCTTTTAGAAGTATTGTCCTTAAATCAAAAACAAGATATAACAATAAACTATTCATTGATTGACTGCCTCGTTGGCCGAGTGGTCGTAAGTGCTACTGCCGGGCAAGGAGGTCGGGTTCGATTTCTGCGTCGGCCAGCTTCTTGCACTGGACCTCCTCCTCCTGCGTCTAAGCCCTGCGTGGTACCTTGATGGCCTCCTCGAGCGCGGGCATGGCGCTGGCGAGGTCCCTCATGGCGGCGTCGGCCAGCTTCTTGCACTGGACCTCCTCCTCCTGCGTCTAAGCCCTGCGTGGTACCTTGATGGCCTCCTCGAGCGCGGGCATGGCGCTGGCGAGGTCCCTCATGGCGGCGTCGGCCAGCTTCTTGCACTGGACCTCCTCCTCCTGCGTCTAAGCCCTGCGTGGTACCTTGATGGCCTCCTCGAGCGCGGGCATGGCGCTGGCGAGGTCCCTCATGGCGGCGTCGGCCAGCTTCTTGCACTGGACCTCCTCCTCCTGCGTCTAAGCCCTGCGTGGTACCTTGATGGCCTCCTCGAGCGCGGGCATGGCGCTGGCGAGGTCCCTCATGGCGGCGTCGGCCAGCTTCTTGCACTGGACCTCCTCCTCCTGCGTCTAAGCCCTGCGTGGTACCTTGATGGCCTCCTCGAGCGCGGGCAGGGCGCTGGCGAGGTCCTCGATGGCGGCGTCGGCCAGCTTCTTGCACTGGACCTCCTCCTCCTGCGTCTAAGCCCTGCGTGGTACCTTGATGGCCTCCTCGAGCGCGGGCATGGCGCTGGCGAGGTCCCTCATGGCGGCGTCGGCCAGCTTCTTGCACTGGACCTCCTCCTCCTGCGTCTAAGCCCTGCGTGGTACCTTGATGGCCTCCTCGAGCGCGGGCATGGCGCTGGCGAGGTCCCTCATGGCGGCGTCGGCCAGCTTCTTGCACTGGACCTCCTCCTCCTGCGTCTAAGCCCTGCGTGGTACCTTGATGGCCTCCTCGAGCGCGGGCATGGCGCTGGCGAGGTCCCTCATGGCGGCGTCGGCCAGCTTCTTGCACTGGACCTCCTCCTCCTGCGTCTAAGCCCTGCGTGGTACCTTGATGGCCTCCTCGAGCGCGGGCATGGCGCTGGCGAGGTCCCTCATGGCGGCGTCGGCCAGCTTCTTGCACTGGACCTCCTCCTCCTGCGTCTAAGCCCTGCGTGGTACCTTGATGGCCTCCTCGAGCGCGGGCATGGCGCTGGCGAGGTCCCTCATGGCGGCGTCGGCCAGCTTCTTGCACTGGACCTCCTCCTCCTGCGTCTTCTTGCTGCGCGCCGCGACGCTGCGCTGTTGCTCGTCCGCGTTGCGCTGTTGCACGTTGATGACGCCCATGTACTCGATGCACTGCTCCGTGTACAGGCCCACTTGCACCTACGATAAATGTTGTTAAGATTTATTGCTTAGGATTTATAAGCTTGACCTTCATGAAATAGGGTTTAATGTTTCATATGAAAGGAAGGATCCACCTAACAAGCCCGTAAGCCAGCTTGACTCGCCGCCCGATCAGAACCAGATCCGAGCGTACGGAGCTTCGCGTTCCGCGCTCGACACAACAAGCCATCAGACCACCACAGATGAGGCCCAATAGGGCTGACGCCGATACGGAGCCGCGGAGGACTTCACGGGTTACCGAGGCTCCGGCTCGAAGTGCAGAAGTAGGAACGGGGTGGTTTTTAATCAGTAAGAGTCTGACACTCCCTATCGCCTCACGCGGGCGGGAAGCCATTGGATGATTTTCACCCCTCAAAAAAAAAAGGTAATCCATGCTTGGCGGGCTGTTGCCCAAAATTTGTTTATTGGAAATGTAGCAAATGTAATAGTGGCATTAAGTCCACCTATATTCATATAGTACATATTTGTTATTAAAAGGGAACTAAAAATATATTTAGGCGATGTTGCTTGTTTACCGCTATATGCTACAGATCAAATACAAAGAATAATACCTTGGCCTCAGCGAGTTCCTCGGACATCTGCCCGACGAGTTTGGTGGTCTCCTCCACCTTACCGAGACCGTTCCGCAGCTTGTTGGCTTGTAGAGCTATCTCTATTCTCTTCGCACTGAGCATTCTGCATGACACAGTAATACCATTACGATTGATGTGTGATGTGTGATGTCGATATATGAAGTATCAAAGCCAATTAATAATATCCGCCTTAATATATCCTTACTAATATTATAAATCGGAAAGTGAGTTTGTTTGTTTGTTTGTTCCGCTTTCACGCCGTAACTACTAAACCAATTGCTTTGAATTTTTGCAGACGTAAAGTTAGAAGTCCGGATTAAATAATAGGGTACTTTTTATCCCGGAAAGATTTGATATTCCCGAGGGGAAAAAAGTATTGGTATAGATGGTGCTGTGTGTATTGGTATATGCCACATAGGCTACTTTTTATCTTTTTGTGACGCGAGTGAAGCCGCGGGTAAAAGCTAGTTTACTCTAAACGCACTTACTCTTTATACCCAGCCACAAGCTCCAGGTAGTTGGTAGGAGTGACGTAGTTAGTCCTCCTCATCTCCTGCCACATCCTGACGGAGTACTTCCCCACAGAGGAGTGGATGAGGGACATTATGGACGCTACAGACGCACGGAGCACGTCCTCGCGACTTTCTATCAAAGATTCCAATCTACGAACCTGTTAATAAATAAAAGTAATTATTTGCTGAAAAACCAAAGTAAGTAAGTAATTGGGAATCACAAACAAGACTTCTTGTACGGCTATCCTCGATTAATGAAGCAGTATTGATTCAATTATGAGGGACAGAGAAAATACCGCGAACGCTGCTCATGAATAAAGGTCCCGGTGTGGCTTGAAACTGGTAGAGCTTTCAATTATTATGTTTTCGGCGTACTCACGTAATTGTTTGACGAGGATCTCAACTAGTTTCAAGCCATGCTAGAGGTTCATATTCATGACCAGCATTTCGAGACCTACGACGCGGCGACTGTCGCGCTGCTACTGATATAATACAAATAGAGCTCTTCTCGAAGGGTTTGTGTTAGTAAGCCGTACTTTATAATCAATAATTCAACCATTAGAGCAGTAAGATTGCTATAGATAACAAAAAAAATCCGCCACTATCGGTCATAGGCGACTACAAAACATGATTATAAGTAAATTTAGTTTATCGTCTATATCTTATCACCCGAATACAGAAAGGCTCTTTTTTTTACTTTTCTAAAAAAACTCAATTTTAAGTAGCGCTTAAATATCGTACTATCTCTGTCATTTTCTTGCACCGGGCTGGCAGTGAAAATCAGTGCCGTGTATTCGCCTCCGTGTCCGGTCTACAGTATTAAGCTGAGCTCCAGCCTTTTGCGCTGTGACGCACCAGTTTTTTGTGTGTACCTAAATTCTAGCTGTATGTCGCGGCGTAATAAATGGTTTTTCTTTTCTTTTCTTGTTTTCATTTTACAAAGAATTTGTGGACAGAAATATACTTAACACATTAAACGCCATGGCAGTCACCGGTGACGGACATTAGCGGAGGATTTGCCTTCAACAGTTTTTTATTGGCAGCCAATTAACGCGACTTAAACTTGAGTAGCGTTTGAGTATTTCAGCATAAGGCGCTAAAGGGCTAAATTATGATTATTTTCTTAAATTAAGATACTCCAGAAAGCTCCCTCACCCTAGGCCCAGTGATGGAGGCGAGTAGTTCGACTCCCTGCAGGAACTTGTACGCCACCTCCAGCAGCGCCTCCCGCGGCCACTCCAGGAACCAGTTCGTGGTTGTCGCGTTGATTAGGGCCGGGTACTGGCGGATACGGTTCCTGGTATATTAATACCGGTACATAAGTATTTTTTCTACAATATTAACAAGAACAAAAAGTGTTTCTTCAAGAGGGACCTTAACCTCCTTTTTATGTAAACGAATAAACGAGCAAACGGATCAACTGATGGTAAGCAATCGGCGCCAGAGGCGTTACAAGTGCGTTAACGACCTTTCAAGGAACAGGTATTTGAGGATTCTTGGGATTCCGGGATTGGGGGAATTTGGGAGATTTTGGAAGGTTGGTGAGGGTAATTGGGCCTTCCGTAACCTCCTCTCATCCTCAATCCCCAAATCCCCAAACGTTAAATCCCCTGCCACCAAAATACTGTCAACGCACTTGCAACACTGGTGAGTAAGTTTTAAAACACATTCGATATAATTTAATTGCAGAAATAAAGATTTAGAATTTCTGTGTAACCTCATGGGATTGGCGTAAGTATGCAACGCAACTTCGCAACTAACAATCGAGGCAAAGTCAATCTCAAAAGCATTTATTTCAATTAAACCATAATTTGGTACTTTTGAAACGTCAACAAATATAAAATAAACAATAGTGTGTCAGTTTGTCCGTCAGTGAAGCTAGGCGCTCGTTCCAAACTGTCGATTCGAGTGGAGAAGAACGAGCAAGAAATTCCATTCGTTACTCTTTTACCACCCCGAATTCTTAAACAAGGAACTATTACGATCACTGATGTTTAAAAAATCTCCACCTGATTGAATTTAAAACTGCATAACCATGGTTTATTTTACCATATAACTTTAATTGAATCTAATAGCAATAAGATTGTAGATACAACAAGATGTTAACTGAAAATCACGGGTTACTCACGTACTGAGAAAAGCTCTACTAGTTTCGAGCTACAAAGGGGTTCTTCCTCATGAGACATCTCCGCGACCCCCTCTATGGCTCGAAACTAGTAGAGCTTTTCTCAATACATTCACGTGAGTAACCGGCGATTTTTAGTTAATCTAGTATGCCTCTCGATAGTTATAAATGTGTCAAAACCTGAACTCCTCCCCAATAGGACTGAAACACAGCACAATATGCATGTGACTCCGCACTCGGTCCACCAGGAACAAGTATATCACTTCATTAGTCTGCATCAAGCCGGCCGCTTTCATTGGCTTCTCTAACGCACTCTTTATCTGCAGAAACACCATTGGTTACTTCTTGAATCTATTTTATTACTGAGCCAATCCAGGCGTTTAATAGAGGTAGGCAGAGGTTCACATTACGGCACTTAATGCCACTGTACATACAATATAAGACTCACTTTTCACTATTTATTTTATGAGTCCCATGTAATAGAGGGTGAGCCTATTGCCATATACCGGGCACTCTATCTGATTTATATATCCAAAACCCACTCTTTTAATGAAGACTTTGATGATGAAGAAAATAAAGTATCGCAAATAATAATATCGTAACTTCTGATGATGTTAGATAGCCTTTACACCTTTCTAAGTCTTCTATGAACTAGATGTTTTAAAGAATTGACCCTTTTTTAAGGGGGGGGGGGAATCATCAAATGACTCCTCCCGCCTGGGTGACTGACTAACTAAAAACCACCCAGTACCAAGTCCTGCACACTCGCTTTTGGCTAAGATCAAAGTGTAGTAAAGAATTGACCCTGACTTATATGAAAATTGGTCTTATTACTATTAGAACAAAGCCACTATTAACATAACCACTTACATCCTCAAATTCATCAGGTTTGTACAGGTTGGTGACCTCTCCACTGCTCAGTAGATTGTTCATGACCTCAGTGAAGGTCTCCTCAGCTATCTGTGTGTCGGAGAATATGAACGTGGTCTTCTTCTGGTCTACTCCACAGCCTGTGTATAAAACCTGGTAGAAGACGGAAGAAGGTAAAGAATTTTAAGGAATATTATTATCGTATTTTTTGTGACCTCTTGGTTGTACTTCGCAAAGAAAATAGACAAAGTTTTACCTATTTCATTGAACACATAACATCAACATAACATCACGCCTTTTGTATAATTTGGTCACGGCGCACTAGAACTTTACAACTACTGCCAATCTGGCTGAACAGGGATTTCTTCAGGGATACTACACAATCACACCACTGTTTTACGTACTTTGAACTGTATATTGTTATTAACACTTAGGTACAATCTTCTTGCGATCTACTTTTGAACTGAACAATCATACAACATTCGCCGAGGGTCATTGAACGGCGGAGAATCTTAACACCGCGATTCAGAAAATGGACTAAAACTAACAACACCATCTAGTTACAAAATTGGAACTAAAACTCTATTTGACACAGATTCAAATTTCGGTTGACGTTTGAACATACCGCCCACCAAGGACATTATTGAAGAATGTCCTTCAAAAAAATTACAATAATAATTCTTACATGAACTTTAGGAACTGTAACTTACAAACAAATAAACTTCTTTTACTAAATAACAATGTAAACAAACAAAGTAAACTTAATTAAGTATTACACTTGAACTTAAATAAATAAAATTATTACAATGAACCTTAGCCTTATATTTACTGTTCAATTACAGTCGACATATTAAAAAATATAGTTAAACCTATCACTATGCATACTAAAAGTTTTAAACCTTGAAATTTAACTTATGGTCTATACTTGACACATTATGAAACTAACAACTCAAACAAACATTTAAATTACTTAAATAGGTACAATAAACTAATTTCCTTCATTGACTGGCAGAACACAGAGCTTTGATGTAGGACGCTTCAGTAAACCTTTACTAGTGCGTAAAGTAACCACACGGGTGATGCCATCGTCACCCGGGTGTTTCTCCACTATGGTACCCAGAAACCAAAAGCAATTCCTTAACTAGAACTATATCACCGATCTGAGGCTCAGGAGTCTTATGCGACCACTTATATCTATGAACTAAATTGCTAACGTATTCTACTTCGAACTCGACTCTTTGACATTTCCTTATACAACACTTTAATGCTTCATCTAGATCTGACCGTTTTATATATTTGGGTATGTCTCTACCCTTGACGTAATGATAAAAGAAACTTCTACATAACGCTACCATTCTTAATAATTTTTTTTAACGAACTATATCTTTCCCATTGTAAGGTGTCGTGTTTTAAAGCTATACAGGACTTAATATTCTCTTCCATGTTAATATCTGTATTCAATAGTCTATTGTACTCTATATTTTCATTATATAAAAATTGTGGTCCGTGAAACCATATAGTATTTTCAGGCAATAGTGACGGTAAAACTCCTCTTGACGCACAATCTGCGGGATTCTCCTTCGTAGAAACATGTGCCCATTGATCTGCGTCTAACGTGGTTAAGATCTCCGCGACCCTATTACTAACAAAGGTTTTCCATCGACTTGGGTGGCTATTCAGCCATGCCAACACGACTGTAGAGTCAGTCCAAGCGTGCACCTTGTCCTTGTCAATATTCATAGCCCTCGCCACATCGATCAACAACCGTGCCAAAAGTACTGCTGCGCATAGTTCTAGACGAGGGATACTAACTGTTCTTATAGGGGCGACCTTTGTTTTCGCCATTAGAAGAGTGACTTGTATATTTCCTGAAGAGTCTACACAACGAGTATACACAACTGCTGCGTAAGCAGCCTTTGACGCATCGCTGAAGCCATGTAACTCTATGACTGAACTATTTGATGTTCCTAACCATCTCGGAACATAGACTTTGGATAGATTTTCCAAGTCTTTACGGTAAGTTATCCATTCTTCTTTTAATTTTTCGGGTACATGATCATCCCATCCTACTCCTGCTAGCCACAATTTCTGTATCAATATTTTAGCTAGTATTATACTGGGTGCTATCCAGCCTAAAGGGTCAAATAAGCGTGCGATATCCGATATAATAATACGTTTAGTTAATGTTTCAGATGCTGGTGGGAGCTGCACCGTGTACTTGAACTGATCTGCACTACGACACCAGGTAAGTCCTAATATTTTTGTACTATCGCTTAATATTTCCTTTTCGTCCTTCCTTTCATATGACTCGATTTCCCCTAATAATTCCGAACTGTTGCTGTTCCATTTTTGTAGTTCAAATCCTGCTTTTGCTAATAATGCTTTCATTTCAAAATACAAATTTTTACCTTCTTCTATTGTGGAACATCCTGTCATTAAATCATCCATATAAAAGCTTGTTGGCACTATTTCAGATGCCGTGGGAAATTCTTGCACATAGTCCAATGCGACCTGGTGCAATGTCTTGACCGCCAAATAAGGAGCTGAAGCTGTACCAAAGGTTACAGTTAATAGCTCATACTCTTGCATTTCTTCATGTGGCTCTTTTCGCCAAACTATTCTCTGATATTTTACATCGTTTTCTGCTACTCTCACTTGTCGGTACATTTTTATTATGTCTGCAGTAATTGCTATTTGGTGAACTCTCCAGCGAAGGACGATATGCCGCAAATCCGACTGCAAGGTAGGTCCCACCATCAACGTGTCGTTAAGTGACACTCCCCTTTCATTCTTGCAGGATGCGTCGAACACTACGCGTACCTTCGTTGTGGATTTATCTTCTCTGACAACTGCGTGATGAGGTAAGTAAGCTGCTTCATTGAACTTTGTGTCTGGTTTCTGTACTTTTTCTCATGTGATTCAAATGTAAATATTCTTCTATAACTTTCGTGTATCTTTCTTTCAGGTTTGAATCCTTCGTGAATTTTCTCTCCAATGCCTTGAGTCTTCTTACAGCTATTTCTTTACTGTTACCACCTCCGCAGGTGGGCGTTGCTTCCTTAAATGGTAACTTGACTACGTATCGACCGTCTGCGCATCTTGTAGTCGTAGCTTTATATAACTCTTCACATTTTAACTCTTGTTCTGTTAACGTAATACTTTGTGGCAACTGATCTTCGATCTCCCAGAACTTCTTCAGAATATCATTTTGGTCCATTGCTGTATGCATGACTGTGATATTTGCGATGTTACTTGACTAGTTTCTGTTTCACCAGAAATTATCCAACCTAGCGTGGTACACTGCGCTACTACTGATCCATTAGGCGCTCTCCTTAGACCATCTTTTAGTATCTTACCATATACGTCTGCACCCAATAAAATATCTATCCTATTAGGTGAAGAAAACTGTGGGTCTGCCAACGTAAGTTGCTTTAATTCCGACCAATCAAGAGGGGCTACTTGTCGTTCCGGTATATATGATGTAATATTTTTTAAAACATACGTGTTTACCATTATTGTAAAACTAGGATCAGCTAACGATTTTAATGTCAATGTTACAACTGAATTCGCGGGTGACTTGACACTACCTAGACCAGAAACAATGCTTCTAACTGAAGTTCTCTTTAATCGTAAAAATTGTGCTGTACTTTCCGTGATAAAGGAAGCCTGGGACCCCTGGTCTAACAAGGCCCGAACTATCTGAAATTCTGCTGTGGCAGTTTGAACTTGAACTAACGCAGTAGCTAACAATACCTGTTTAGGACTGACGATGTGTTTAGTCGATAGACATGACACAACTGGACTGTTATCAGTGGAAGTATTATAAGAGGAGCTAGCAGCTGTTTGCTTATCTTCCTTAGCGTTATGTTCATAATTAGCGTGTAAGAGAGTGTGGTGTTTCTTGCCGCAAATATGACATACCGCTGTTTTCTTACATTGATAAACTAAATGGTTTCCGCCTAAACAGTTAAAACAAATTTTATTTGACTTTGCAAAAGATCTTCGTTCATCTACATTAATTTTTGTAAACGGTACACAAAAGCATAACTTATGGTTGTTGCCGCAAAATTCACAACTAATCTTAAATTGGCCAGATGGTCCAGGATTAACGTTCCGAGCGAGCAAAGTTTTCTGACCTGATAATCTTTCTGTACGTGGACCAGCTCGCCACTGACCCGATGGTCGCTGTGGTTCAATGAACTCAAGTGCTCTAAACCGACTTTCCAGATATATTTTAAACTGTTCTAGAGTTGGAAATTCAACTGTTGATTCGTCGGAAGCCTTCAACTCCCACTGTTTACGGGTCTCTGGGTCCAACTTTTCAGAGACTACGTGAATTACAATAATTTCCACAATGGTGGTCATGCTAATCCCTAGGTTAGAGAATGCACTCATACAGTCTGTGGTTGTATCCAGTATTTGTTTAATATTAACCGCAGATTCAGTATTTACTCGTTTTTGGTTGAATAGCCGTTGCAGAATGGAATTCACCAAGTGTCGCTTATTGTTATACCGATGCTCCAATTGCTTCCAACATACTGAGTAATTCGCAGCAGTAATTGGTATTTGACGAAGCAACTGCTCTGCTTCACCGGTCAAACATCCCTTCAAATAATGTAACCTCTGTACGTCATCTAAACCTTTATTGGAATGAACTAGCGAAATAAAAAGATCACTAAAACTAGTCCATTCATCGTATTTGCCCGAAAATGAAGGAACATTAATTTTTTGTAACCTAACGTTCGAAGCAGAATAGGTTCGTGTACAAGGTTCGTTTATGTTAAACTGTAAATTACTGTCTTTTAACTCTGACTTGTACGTTAAATAAATTTCCTCTGTCTTATCATATAATTCGGATGTAAAATAATTGTTTTTCAAATCTGTTACGGTGGCTTTTTCAATTATTTTCCGATGTGTATCATAAAATCTAGACCATTGCTGCTCTAGATTTTCCAATCTAGTTTCTACATATCCACGAGTTACTCGTTCTTTGGGAGATTTTTTGAAATTACTTCTCCCCTTTTCAATACTACTTTTTACATCATCTTGTAGTTTAAATAAAGATTCCATGGCAATGACTTAGAAAACAATTCAATAAAGCCAACAACGTATTCGAATAATCTGTTCTAACAACTAACAAAAGTGAACTTACA